CTCCCCAGTCCAGTGCTCCGGGGTGGCCATTCTTGGCCATACAGTTTCCCCCTGATCCCAGGGGATCTGCATTGCCATGGAGCATCCCTGGGCTGATCCACCCTCGTCCATCCCTGAGCAGCCCCTCAGTGGGATGTGGCTCAGTGGCAGAACCCTGACCATGGGCTGCAGGGGATGGGCAGAGAACACAGAACCTGAACCCCACATTTTGCTGCTGTAAGGTTAAGAGGTGACAAGTCCCTGTGGGGAAGGTCCCTGACAGCCACAGGAACTTAGTCCAGAACAAGAGCAGAGCAGATGCCGGTAGCTGGAGACCCTGCACAGGGCATCCCTGGGCTCAGGGGGTCTGTGGGGGCACCGGGCCAAGCGAGGCAGCAGCAGGGGCAGCCCGGGGAGCAAAACTGTCCCCAGTGGCAGAACAGGGCTGGTAGCCCCTTCCCCAGCTACACTGGGCACAGCGGCCGAGGGCCCAGCACTTCCTCCGGCACGGGGAGCTGACAGACAGTTTGGGGGGCTACAAATCAGACCTGAAAAGACGGGGCTGGACAGGCTGTCTGGGAACTCGTAACCTGAGCCCCAGGAAAGGAGGACTCAGGAAAGCGCTTTCAGCAATCATATTCATCATCTTCAGCTCAGGCTCATTAGGCTCGCGGAGCCCGGCCCCGCCACCGCCAACGCCTCCCGCACGCAGATAGAGCCGCCGGCTCAGACAAATAAATGCTTCCAGCTTCCCGGTGGATGCGGCAGGTCAGGGAGCATCTGATGCCAATTACCCGCGGTGTAGGGTTCCCCGGCCCTGCTCGCCAGCACCGCGGCTCCTGCGCCCCGGCCCTCCCGGCCGGCTCTGCCCCGGCCACGGGGTGCTCGGCCACCTACACGTGCCCTCCAGCCTGGGGTGGCCCCATGGGTCACCCTCTGCCTGAAGCCATGGGGGCAGCCACAGGGGAGGGTTTTGGTCTCCATTGCAGCAGGAGGAGCATCCCTGCACCACCGAGGTTGGAGCTCCTCCATCCTGGGGTCAGGGACTGGCGCAGGGACCGATCACCTGAGCATTTCAGGTGGCTTGAAGGCCACCTGTCTGCATGGCCATCCCCACCAGCACTGGGCACCAGCGTGTCACTGCTGTCACTTCCTCCCAGGCTGTCCCCAGCACACGTGCTCACAGCATGGTGTGGCAGGGACCCTCCTCCCTGCTCCCTAGTGCGGGGCAGAGGGTGGACAGATGTCCTGGCTGGTGCAGCAGGTTTGGAGCCATCCTGGCCGAGGGTTTGGCAGAGCCCCAGGCACCAGGCAGCCCTTCACCAGGCAATGGGAAGGGTGTTGGGACTGTGCATCACCATGTGACAGCACGTGGGTGCCCTGCACCCTGCTGAGCCCACCCTGTGTGGGTCCAGACATCCCTGGGGCAGCACATCCTCATCTCAGGGGCTGAGCTGTGGGAGTCACCATCAGGTTCAGGTCCAAAATTACACTGGACCATGGAAAGCCACAGACAGGGCTGGGAAGGGCCCCTAAGATCCAGGCCTCTATCCTGAGGGGTGATGGCAGCCAGCACAGCCATGTGGACCCCCTCGCCCTGCAGCTCCTGGGGACAGCTGCATGTCCCCAGTCCTCGGGGCTCACCCTGGCCTGGACATCCTTAATTGCCCAAAGGTTGCTGTCCCCGGGCCGGGGGCCACGTGTCGGAGTGACCCTGGGCAGGAACCTGACACGGACGCGAGTCATTCGGGATCAACGCTGGGGGCCAGGAAATTGCAACGGACACGAACCTAAATACGCTGCACGTCCCCCCAGGTAATCAGGGGCCGGGCCAGATTCCAGCTGACAGCTTAAATGCCTTAATTCCTTGGCCGCTGTGGTTCGAGGGGGTCCCGTGTGCCATGGGCTTCTCCCAAACGGTCTCTGAGCTGGAGATTTGTCTGTAATTGGAGGCGTGTTGCATTCCCCTGAAAGTAGCCAGGTCCCACTGGAGGGGGGCTGCGGGAAGGCAGCAATTTCCCTTATGGAATTATTTACCTGATTAGAGAGTTTATTTTATCAAAATTGCTTCAGAATGGGGCTGCTCAGTGTGTCCAGCATGGGGAGCTCCCCGGTGGGGCTGGCGACCTGGAGACAGGTAATTTGTGTGGTTAATGGGACTAATCCACCAGGCAATTACACCAATAGATTTCACGGCTGCAAAGTGCTCTGTTCCCATTAATTAAAAATCTGTTAAGAAGATTAGCACGTAAAGGCATCAAAAGAAACCCACGAGTTTCTTTCCCCACCAGCCCTCGAAGGCGAGTGTGGGAGTGCTGGATTGCTCACATTAGCACAAAAATTATTCTTTTAAAGGTAAGGGCTTCGCATCCAAAGTAACCGCTGACAGTTTTCCCCGACTTCCCTACCAAGAGGTCCTTTATCTTTAATTATAGTTTGTTTAAATTGGGCCTGATTGTTCATGTGGAGTGTTAGCTTAAATATATTTGGAGCGCGTGGTTCCCCCGTGTGTGGCAGCGCGGTGAGAGGAGGGCAGGCCCTGGCTCAGCCCTGTGCCCTGCCAGGTGCCCCCGCTCTGGGCTGGTGCTCAGGACTGCTCAGGAGGGGATGGGGGTCCAGGGGACTCTGAACTCAGCATCCCACGGCTGGGATGGTCGCAGCAGAGCAGGAGCAGGGATGGCAGTGCCACCACTGGCACCACCACTGGTCAGGGGCTCAGCCACCAAACCTGGCTCTGCAGTTGGGCTGTGCGGGCACCTCGCTGGTGTGATGGGGAGCCAAGACCTCTCCAGCGGCTTCTCTGTGGCATAAGTCCCATGCCAGCACCACTGGCACCCTGCAGACACCCCTCTCCCATCCCCACCATGCTGCTGCCGGCCAGCCCAGCTCTGCTCAGCCCCTCGCTCGGCGGCCTGGCCGTCCCTGCTCTTTGTCCACAGCCAGACTGGAGCAAAACAAAAGCAAATTCCCCGGCAGCTGAAGGTGCCATTTTTACGGCTGGGCTGAACGAGGAAGTATTTTTTGATCTCTTAAAAATCCTGAATATTATCTGACAGTTTATCTTGTTTCTCGCATCCGTGTCTTTGCAGCAACGCCAGCTCATTTACATGTGTATTGCGCCTGCCTCCACGGGTGCTGAGGTCAATTGAAACTCAAGAAAAGAGGAGAAATTTATGCAAAACTGTTGATTGCATTTGTATGTAATGAAATCATCCAATATTCATCTGACTATAGACTCTAATCTGAAAGGAGAAGTGAAGGACATAAGAGTCACTGGAAAGCAATAATGAGCTTCTGTAGTGATTAAAAAAGCACTTGAGCTTTCTGAAAATCCAGCCAGAAATCGTGTCTAATCAACACGGAATATAGGAGGCAGAGATTACATTGATACATTTTGCAAAGCTCACTGTTGAAAATGTATGCGCGCTGTAAACTCTGACATGCCATCCAGGGTCTGTTGGATACAAATCCGGGCGGCACAATCAGCGCCCGGCTCGTCCCTGGCACAAAGCAATCTTGGTGTCTCTGCTCGATGACTCACAAGGAGCGCAATCACATCTATTTTGAAGAGCAATGTTGTTTTTTAACTATGTCGAGAGCTTCCAGCTTCCTCGGAGTTTTTCCTTGCCTTTGCCTCCGTTTTGAGCGTCCCCTCAGCCCAGGAGCTGGCGTGGGGCTGGTGCCTGCCCTGCTCCCTGTCCAGCAGCTCGGAGCGGACTGGAACATCCTGGTGGTGCTGAGTGTGGCTGCTGGGCAGCCTGGGAAGGAAGCAGTCTCTCCAGAGCAGGGATGTGCACAGGGATGTGCCCCTTGTGCTGGGAGTGTGACCCCTCGGGGACCCCCACCCTTCCAGGCCATGGCTGCACTTGCCAGGTGTGAACACAACAGTGCCTCAGGTCAACGGATGCTGTTGGGAGAGGGCTCCTGGAGAGGGCAGAGAGGTGTGGACAGCCCAGGGCAGAGCGTGAGGGGTCTGGCCATGGCCCTCCTTCCCCTCCTGCCCTGCACCACCCTCGGCATTTGTGGCCGAGGCCAAACCATTTGGTGGCCAATGTGGCGTCACTGACAGACCCACATTACACCAGCCCAGCTGCTTTCTGGCCCGAGTTCCTTCCCCTCCTGGGTTATTTGGCACAGCTGGAGCTCCTTCCCACCCGCCAACAGCATCAGCTGCAGCTCCTTATCAGCTCTGGGTGCAATCCAGGCTGGAACCAAGTGAGAGGTTCCTGCTGGTGCTGCTGGAGGAGTGTTTGGAGCGGGCAGACCTTGTGCTGCAGCTCCTGGTGTGGAGCAGCAGGTGATTTATGCTGCAAAGGGAAAGCGGGACCTGTCCAGAGCTGCACTGTGAGTGAGCTGCTGGTGCCCTTCCCCTCTTCTCCTGGGTGTTGCTGCTGTGGTCCTGTGTGGTTGGGAGGTGCTGGGGCTGTGGCTGTGGCTGGTGCATTCTTCTGCTTGTCCTGGTCCCAGAGGGAGCAGGAGGGGCTGGAGGGGCACAGCCCCGTGGACTCACGTATTGTCTGCCCTGCTTTGGTGGTACCAGGGCTGAGAGCAGCATCTGTGGATGCTGTGGCTGCTCCTGGCTGATGCAGAGCCCGGGACTGAGGTGGGGATGCAAAGAAATGGACTCTCCAATCATCCAGACAGCGCTGGAGCAGTTTTACCACAGGTTTTATTTCCTGTGAGCTGCAGTGAGATGCTACAGGGTAAGGAAGAGCGGTAAATATTTGGGAAATTCCTCCATGCAGTGACACCCTGCAGCTCCAGTGCCTGCCTCCACCAGCCCATTATCACCCCTCCAGGGCTTGGAGAATGGGAAGAGGCTGGAGAAACACTCGTGGGCAGCAGTAGTTCTCCACCTGCCCTGGCTTTGTGGAGCTCCCAGCTCAGCAGCTGCTGCTCCCGGGCAGGTATCAGGAAAACCCTTCAGGGCCAGGCTGCTGCAGGGATGCTGAGGCTGCAACAATGGCAAAAGAAGCCCAGTTGATAAATGTCAAAAAAATCCAGCAATCGGCTGAAAGCAATTTCCCGAGCTGAGGAACCGCCCTGGGCTCGCCATCTTCCTTTATTCATTTATCATGGCAAGGGCTTCGGCCAAAATACACAAAGCAGAGAAATTGTTGACATGTGGGGCCCTAGCAGAGCAAATCCTTCATCCTCCTCCCCCTCCCCGTGGCACACAAACTAACTTTTTGGGAGTTGTTTATTTAAGGAGTGCAGAGCACTTGGCGCTCTTTGAACCCAAATGCCTCGGGAGCAGGGCTGGGGGCTGCCCCCACCTTCCTGCTCCTGCCATCGCCAAGGACATTTGCTGCCAGCGGGGAGTACCTGCTGGCAGTGAGGAGCTGAGCTGTGGGATGTGCTCAAGACCTTGTTCTGCTTCTACCTCCCCCAGCCCCTCAAATGCGGTGCTCGTGGCTCGCACAGGTCCTCTGTAACTGGTCAGTGGGGACAGATAACGGGTTTGGGAAGTTTCTGTGTTGGCTTTTGGTCTTCTTGGTCCTGGCTAAAGCAGCTGTGCTGCCAGCACTGGTTTCAGTTCTCTGCCTTGGGAACCACAGAGCCCCTGCCCAGTCAATGCTGAGCTCCCTCACCCCTCCCCAGCAGGGCAAACGCTTCCTTTGGGACACGGGAACCCAAGGGAACACACCAACCAGGCTGCTGCAGGGCTGCTCCTCCGCATCTCATTTTGACTTTATTTCAAGAAAAAACAAATGCTGAGGTTTGCACAGGACAGTGCAGGCTCCCCCTGCACGTGTTCCTGGCTCCTGCTGGGCTGGTGGTGCAGGAACACAACATGGGGCGTGAGGTGAGCAAGGCAGTCCTTCCTCCTCAGCTTCCCTGGGACCCTTCCAGCAGCCTCCAGTCCTCCTTCTGGATGTTTTATTTCTCATCTCATTTCACCCAATTCTGTTCCCACCTGGATGAGCAGCGAGGAGAGTCCCCCCCTTCCCTCCAGCACTGCCCAGGTGGGCAGTGGGAGCAGCCAAGGCACAGAGCTGCTCATCCCTGAGGCTGCTGCCTCCAGGCAGGGATGAGAGCTGGGGCACGTGGCAGTCCATTCCTGCTCCAGGGGGAGTGTGTCCATGGGGATGGTGTTCATCCAAGCAGCTCCTTGGTCTTTGCTGCCAGCAGCTTGTCCATCTCAGCGACAGCCTCATCTGCCATTTGCTGGATCTGTGGCAAGACAACACAAGTCAGAGTCCTGTGTGAGGTGATGCCAGAGTTTAAAGGGAAAGGAGTGACTTCAGGGCAGGGCAGAGACCTGCTGCTGCTGGCACCAGAGAAGAGAGGGCTGTTCCCTCCTGCAGCACCATCAGAACACACAGGTAACAGCAGGAGCCTTAGCACATGTCAGGAATACACAAACCCAGTAACCACCTGTTTGTTTCTTGTAAAAAGAAATAAAATGGTGGTTGTCCAAGCCCTGCCCAGGGATCAGCTCTCCTGGTAACATGGGATGGACATGGCAAGAAGGCAAAAGGGATCAAAATGTGCAGGTAAAGTAAGAGCAGGTAAAGGCTGGAGCACACCAGGGGTTAGGCACTGGTTTCACAGGATTAAGTTGTGCTCACTCCCAAGGTCTAACAATGACCTTTCCTCGTGTGGAAAAATCTGGGTACAAGGAAAAAATTCCACTGGAGATGTTACCTCTACCAGTGCAGAAAACCATCTGTCTGCTCTGGGAGAACTGCTTCCCAACAGGATTTGGTTACAATGGCATGGCCATTTTTCCTGCGTGCACAAACGCTCTGTATATCGATGTTTATTTTTGTGAGCACACAGGGAACTGTCCCAGAGCATTTGCAATGTATCTAACTTTAGCTGTTAATAAACAAACAGCTAAGAAGTAATGGCCTGCCTTCAGAGGCATCAATTCAGCAGAACACTTAGGCTTGTGCCTGAGTTTATGCCCAAGTAATTGACTTTAGTGACATCTGCTCTTAGGGAATTAGGCATGTGCTTAAGTATTTTCCTGAATTGGAGCCAAAAACTCCGAACAGAGATAATCCTGCTAGCCTTTTCATTAATAACAACTGAAACAATCCTCATTAACACCAGCTGTTTGCAGTGGCCAGGCACTGGGTGAGTGGTGGTACAGACACGGACGTGGATTGTTTCGCTCCCCCAGTTCAGCTGGTTTGTGCAACAAAAGCTTTTGGGGAATGGTTACAGCTTACAATGGTTCATATCATAAATCTGGCTTCGAGATTGAAGTCCCAAATCTCACAAAGGAAAAGCAACTAAAGCAGCCATTGCCAGCTCCAAACACGCAGCCCATTCCCCCACTGGGTTCTCAGTGCTGGAGATCTGTCAGCAAGGGCTGGGACAAACACACCACTGAGCTCTGACACACCAGGATGTGGCAGAAGGGAAGAAAATTACCTGCTTTTCTAGCAGCCAGATGGTATCTTCTGACACTTTGCTCTTGGACTTCTTTACCTGGTTGATGCTTTTGCTTCGCACCTTTCTCAGGGCCTCTTTGGACTTGTTGGTGGATTGCTTGGCCAGCTTGGCCAGGTTCTCCCTGTGCTCCCTGGTGACCCTAGGAACAAGGGGAGAAGAAAAACACCACAAAGAAAACAGTGTCATGTGTGCACAGCCAGATTTGTTTTCTGTGATGGACTTTGGGTAAATGAGTGATCCTCTCTGACTGCTGCTGCCCTGCCCAGGGTCACCCAAATGCTGCTGGTGTTAGACCTTGCTCTGTTTGGAGGCCCTGCGTGCCACAGAGCAGAGGGACTGAACAGATCAGGGCACATTTTCATTCTGCCTTGGTCCACCTAGAAAAATCAGCCACCTCTGCACAGCTGGGGAACTTGGACTGAATCTTACTTGGTTTATAGTTGTTGCTGCAGTGCCTGAAAGTCATGCTGAAATGTTGAGACTTCCCTTATTTCCTGCTGCCAAAGCATCTGTGGGAAAGAGGAAAAATCCAGCTCCAGACTTGAAAGATGGAACTGAAAAGTGTCATCCTGAAAAGCATAATCCTGCAAAGCCAGGAGGAAATCTTAGCTCCTGAAACTCAGATTTGTCTTCCTGCAGCTGAAGAGCCTGAATTGAGGACTGGGAAGCTACAGAGTTTCTCTCTCACTCAACTTTATTCCAGCTCACCATGACCAGGATTTCCCACTGACATGATGTGAACGCCTGGACTGACAAGAGGATGCTGATGGACATGGGCAGCCACAGGTAACTTGGCCCACCTTCAGCTCCACCTTCCCCCAAACATGGGGCCAGTTATTGCTTTGGTGCCACAAGAAAATCCTGAATTTCCCATTCCAGACTGAAATCTGCAGGTGGTGAGGGGGTCTGACCATCAAAAAGTCTCAGGAATGGCTGGGGTGTCCCCTCAGCTCTGGTGATGCTCCAGCAAATAGAGTTGATCACTGTCAACTGCTGGTGCTTAACAATAATATTTTAATAATTTTCATGGCTATTGGAGTTTCCAGGCTGCCTGGAGAGGGAAAAACCTCGGTGCTCTCACTGAGACTCGCTAGCTCAAGGGAGATATTGGAAAATAAACATTTCACAGGAGTATTTAGAAATTGGCTGTAGCAGCCTGGGTCACCAAAACACTGGGGCTGACTTTTCCTGCAGAGAGCTCAGGAAATGTGGGGTGAGGGTGCCTGGGCTCTGCCCCACAGTGGGTGTGTGTTACAGGGAGGCTGTGGGGGCACAGTGGGACCCTTGGCCCAGCAGGTCCCTCCCCTGCAGGCAGATCTCTCCCAGCAGATGTCTGCAGAGGCACTGGCCTCTTGCCAGCCATCTCTATTTCTTGGTGCCAGAGGGAACAGGCTTCCCAGAACCAGTTGGAAATTACAGGAATTTGGGGTGGCTAGGAAAGCTGACAGATCTAGAGAGCAGCATCCCAGCCCTGGCACCCAGGGCACCCTGGTGCCTGTCCCCTCCCTGGGAGATGGCCAGGAATGTCACACAGAATCAAAGAATATCCTGAGTTGGAAGAGACCCACAAGGACCATCAGTTCAACCCCTGAGCCTGCCCAGGACACCCCAACAATCCCCCCCTGTCCCTCATAGTGTTGTCCAAACCCTCCTGGAGCTCTGACAGCCCTGGGGCTGTGCCCACTGCCCTGGGGAGCCTGTTCAGTGCCAACCACCCTCTGGGGGAAGAACCTTTCCCTGAGATCCACCCTAACTCATCACATGCAGTGGGAGGCTCCTGGTCAGCACAGGCTGAGGAGTGGGCAGGGATCCTTGTGATCCTCGTGCTTTCCCTGCACCCCAACATCGGTGCCTCCGGGGCTTCTCATGCTCGACCCCCCCGGGCAGAGCTCCCGCAGCACACTCGGAACCACCGGGCCGGCTCTCAGGCAGAGGTCCCCATGAGGGCAGATTCTCAGGCAGCTTTTTGAGGGGGTGGGGACTCAATCCTGGCTGCTCAGCTTGGAGGAGGTGGGGGGAGCTGGAAATCTCTCCCATCTCCTGCTGGGTGGCGGGGGAGCCGCTCATCGGTGGGAGCCGCGCGCGGCTCTCGTGAGCTGTGCCGAGGGTATCGCTCGCCCGCCCGGGGCTGCCGAGCCTCGAAGGAAATGTTTTTGTTTATGCAGCGCTGCCAGATTTCCTCTGCTTCTTGGCACGGGGTCACAGCTTTCATGCCTCCTTGTCTGTCTTTATTAACACCAATTTCTTTTTATCACCGTGCAGTGCCGGGGAGTTTCTCAGCGGGTTTTATGTTCCAGCCAGACTGTGTGTAAATTCTCAGCAATGCTACCAACAATGCCAGAAGTGGACACTTTTCCAAGCAGATGCTGTTTCTGGTTAAGGAATCCATCAACACGAGCCAGGCCCACGGTTTCTAAGCACAGTTTTTTAATCCTGCCCCTAGATGTGCGACTTTTAAGCTGCTGTTAGGTATGTTTTCTTTTCTGTCTAGTAGCCAATCCCTACTAGTAATCCCTACCACCACTTAAAGCTAAAAAAAAAAAAAAAAGTGTGAAGTGAACTTGGGGAAGGGGTGCCAGAGTGGGGAATGAGGACAAGGTCCCCAGCTGTCACCCCTGATGCCCTTCCTGCGGCTCACAGAGAAGCAGGCTCAATTCCTGCTGTTCCCCCAGGGACCAGCACAAAGCCTGGTGAATGACATGGCAGGGGGGGTCACAACACACACCATCCCCCGAGTAACAGCTTTTTTTCTGCCTCCCCCAGCTCCAGAGGTTCAAGCAGTGCAGCCCTTGGCAGAGCAGACCCACAGCAAGCGCAACACATTTATCTGGGTAAGAGCAATTTCTGTATCTCAAACACGAGGAATTTCCTGTGAAGGAGAGGGATCAGTTAAAGGAAAGCAGGCTTAACTAAACACTCTGCATTCATAATTGCAGATAAACACAGGGTGCAGCGTTTATTGCTCAATAAAAAGCAAGTGACAGACTCCTGACGATGAGCAGCTCGGAGCAGCCTTGGTGTGCTTTCCAGTGAAATGTTTTGGGTCCTCTCTCCCCACAGAAGGTATCTTTGCATATTTCTTAAAGGGCAAAGGGGAAAAAAAAGCTCACAATGAGTCATTAAACTTTCAAATGAGTCATCTGGCTTTCAGTAAAACATGTGTAAAAATATTACTGATTTACAAACAATATCCAGCGTAACACAATGGGTCCAAAAAAGATGGATCTAAAAATGAGGCAATACCATAAAAGACACAAGGTCAGGTCAAATTCGGCCAAGAGATCAACCAATACAAACGTTCCCATGGCTGGTTCCTTTTTTTTTTATTATTTTTATTTTTAAACCCTCAGAGGCTTCTCTTTATACAAACAAATATTGCCTCTGCAGTGTCAGCCACAGAATGCCTGGGGGAGCAGAGGGATCCTGCCAGGCAGCAGAAGTAAACACCAACCTCACAAGTGTATTTTTTTTTTCTGCTGAAGCTGCAGTGCAAAAACTAAACTAACAGAATGAATACTGAGAAGCAAACTCCATTTTTAAATGCTCAGCTGGACCTGCACGAGGCAGAACACGACACACGTGTGTCCAGCTGACAGGTCAGAGTAAGAACTGGCTTTAATAACAGGTAAGGACAATTTGGGTTTGGTTTTTAGTGTAACTCCTTCTCATGGAAGAACCAATTTCTGCAGAAACAATATTAAGATCTCCTCATTTTGGATGTGTTTGCTCAATTTCTGTATCAGCTGTAATTCTGGTAATTTTATTGCATCTTTCCCTCATATATTCTTTCATAAACTGTTAGAAATACAGAAAAACTTAGCAAATTTTAAAAAGCAATTCAGGGATATAGTACTAAAGAGAGGCCTCTTGCTGAATTTGATTGTTCTGGCCCCCCTCTTTGCATTATTGTGTTTTGAAAGGCTGGAACTGTCTGCTTGTCTTTTTGATAAGTGGATGAAACTCCCAAAGACCCAGTCATGTAACTGGAGAGCAAAAGGGACTGGAGGTGTCGGTGAGGGCAGAGCCACAAGGCACAGCTCCCAAAAACCTCCACTCAGGACTTCCCAGGCACCCAAGCAGCCAGGAAGGGACCAGGAGCTGCAGCCCTGACACACCAGAGGAACACTGGAGCACACCAGGCAGAGCTTCCCTGGGAAGAGAAGACTTGTTTTCGCCCTGCAGCACCACAGAAGATGGTGACAGACCATGCACATTTGTTTTAAAACACAGGATTTTGTTAAAGCTCCGGATTTGCAGTTTTGGAGTTTCCTCCCCTGCAATTCGTATTCAAGGATGACCCAAGTGCCCATTAACAATCAAACCACTGTGCAGCAACCCGGGAGTCTCAGCAATTATGAAGATAATGGTGCCCTCCTCCTCTGCCTCCTCTCCTGAGGAATGGGGGAAGGGCAGGGAGCACGGGGAAAGAAAATCAGCAAATAGAATGATAATGTCATTGCCTCTCACCGACTGCAACGGAAAGCTGCAATTAGACTGCTCTGATGAAAATGCTGGGGAAAATTCCACAGAATTTCTAAAGGAGATCTAAAGCATGAGAAATACCTGGTTCATCTTTCCCAAGAAGTCTTCCACCTGCTTGTGGAAGGGGTTTGAGCACTCCCTGCGTGAGAGCTGTTTGTCCCAACCCCGGGGTGTGAGTTCATGCCCAGCCACACCTGCCCAGAGTATTTACATGCTCCATAAGGTCTGAGCACCCACAGGAACTCCTGAGCTTTCCTTGTGCCACCCAACCCTGGTGCCCCTGCGACAGGCACTGTCTGTGCCAGCGAGTGGAGCTGCTGGGAGCCCTAATTTCACCTGAAAGGACCCCCTGTCCCAGGCAGAGCCCAAAGCACACGAAGGGATCATCAGGATTGCTTCTCCTGATCCAAACTGAAGAATGGATGCAGTGGCACCTCCTGCCTCGTCCAAAGGCTGGGAGTCACCTGTGATGGCTGAGGGAAGCAATGCTCATCCCTTGGCCGGGGGCAGCCTGCTTTTCCATCAGCCCCACCCCAAAACTTCCACGCAGCCATCAGTTACACAACATACATTAGATGAGAAGAGGGAGCAGATTTTTCAGCCAAAGCTATAAATTTCCTGCCTCTCCCTTTCACCACTTCCTTTCAGTGCTCTCTGCACCAAGGTGCTACTCACCCCTGATACCAGTGGGTCACTAAATTCCCTCCTGCCTTACTGCTGCTCTGTGCCAGTGTAATTCTGAGAATTTAGAGCAGGGCAGCAAAGAATTAGCCCCTGGGTTGAAGCAATACAGCTTCAAAAGCCTTTGGCTCTCCTGCAAAGTGCTGCAGCCAGCAAGGACCAAGACTTCTCTGCGGGGGGAAGATGAAGAATAAAACCAACCACCAGATGCCAAGATGTGAGGACTTAGGGCTCAGACACTTGGAAGAGGTTCCACCAGACGCTTCTAGGGGCTCAGATTTTTTTCCAAACCTGAACTCACAGCTATTTGGAAAGCAGCTGCATGGGGACATTCAGCAGTCGTGCATGTTTGCCCTCTGAAGGGCACTCACTGCAACCTCCTGCGTTGTCTTGCAGGGTGATGAGCTCGGGCATCGATACTCACTTAGGAACCGGCACCCGAATCATCGTCCCGTCCACCTCGGGGTTCAGGTTCATGCCACTCTCCCTTATGGCCTTCATGGCTGCAGCTGTGCTCTGTAAAGCAGATCAAAAGGTAAAGGGAATTAGGAAATAATCATTCCCATATGCCAGAACTCTGTCAATAGTTGGCAATCCATCTCCATGGAACATGGAAACATTTACTTCTGTTACCAGTAAGATCAGGAAGTTACATTGGTGCAGAGAGCTTTGATCAGCCCGAATGGGAAACTACGGCCGCTCGTATCGGGGTAGGGGGGCACCCAGGGGGGAGAGGGGAAGGCAGGCAACAACAAAAGAAAACTGTTTGGCTTCTTTGAAACTATGAGAATGGTTTGAGGCAACACAGAGCGAAACCGCAACAAATTCCCAAGGCAGAGCCTGACTGTGGCGAAGGAGATGAAAGATTCTGAGCATTTAAGAATTCCAGTTGAATGTTTCCCACTAGAAATCAGCCAGTGCCAATTCTGAAATGTTAACAAACTTAACCACTTCAGCACTACAACCTGACCACAGGACACTGGGGCGGCAGCAGCTGGCTGAGAAACAGCGCCTGTGCCCAGCCCTGTGTTTATTTTACAGCTCATTACTGAGGATTAACTTCTCAAAACTCCCCTGCCACTGGCTGATGCTCTGCTCTGCTCTGCTTAAAAGGTGGGGTGGCAGGTTTTCCTGGTGACTGCAAGGTGATTGAAAGGCTCTGTCTCCACCCCAGGGCACAGGTTGTGCCTCCAGAGAGTGCCAGGCTTTGGGGTTAAAGCAGAGCTTGGCCAGGAGCTCCTGTGAGGCTCTGCCAGGTCAGGTTGTTCTTGACAAGCCCAAGGAGTTTGTATTCCTGTGGCACTTGTGTGGTGTTTCCTACCAGGCACGATGCTATTTCTGATGCTCCTTGCCATCATTAACTTTAGCTCCAGGCTGCTGCAGTATTTATGTCATTCAAACCGTATTTATGAAGCGCAGCTTTTGTCATCTGAGGCACAAACTAAAGCTCTGCAGATTTGTTCAGGTCCCTGACACGTGCCATCCCTGAACCTAATGAATGCTCTGCTGGTGTTCTGTAAGACAACTGCTGTCCTCTGAAACTGCAAGGGCAGAGAAAATGCAACCAAATAATCTCAGCACATTAGGAATAAAAAGGGACAATGCTTGCTCTGTAGGAAAGAAATGCTCAGTAAAAACTGTGTTGTTTATCATAGATATTGGAGGAGATGGAAGGAGGGGAAAATATTGCAATATTGACCCTATCCTCTTGCAGCCCATGAGAAAAAAAAACCATAAATAAACCAGCACCTTGTTCAGTTTTATAACTCTTGGGCAAACAGACTTTGGCCCTGTGAGTCCTTTTCTATGATTATTTTATTTCTCACTCTTCAGGTACTTTTATTTTCTTCTCAAGGCCATGAAGTACTGACTATATGCTGTAAATAAGGATGTCAAGTAATCCTGTCTGTAATGGCTTTAAAGAGTTCAGTCCATCACAGAACAGCTATGGTATAAAGCAACTATATTGAGAGAAATAGTTCTTAGAAAGCAAATGTAGGCAATGCTATACAGAGGATATTTAATTTCTCACAGGGCCACTTGTCAGCCTGAGGTCCTGTTTGACACAGGGTAAGTCATGGAGTGCCTTCCTTGGCCCTCTCAGCGCTGGCTCTGCGGGACCTCAGCGCACTTGCTGATGAGGGGCCTCTGTTCTTCAGAGCCTTTGAACACTTTAGGAAACACTTAGGCATCAAGTGCCTTACACTGACCTCCTCTGAGACTTTGCTGACTTAATTAATTGGGGAAAGCCTTTGCCAAATAAATAGAGATAAGCCCTGGCAAACCTCCAGACGTGGGGTGAGATGAATCGCTAACCCTGCGCTTGCCCCTGGTCCCATCTGCCTGGCTCTGCCTGTGGGAGCTGCAGGGCACCCCAAGGGCTGGATCCCCAGGTGGGATTTGCATTGCTGCCTCATTTAGGGGCAAGTCTAAGGCTCCTGCAGAAAATGAAGGGAACTTGTCTGTCACAGAAGATAACTTAAAGCACCTAATTTGTGTTCTGACCTGCAGACGCTGCCTAGGGAGGAGCTCACCAACCTCAGCAGTGCCCGGCTCGAGCTCTGTGACAGCACTTAGCACAGCCCAGTCCCACCAGGGAGGCTCTTGAGAAGCTCACAAGCTCCATCAGCAGCTCCTCCCACGAGCTCTCAGGGGTGTCCCCAGCCCTGCTGGTAAGTAGGCAAGTTTCAGAGGTGTTTGATGGCGTGTCCAGTACCAATTCCAGCTACACGGCTGGAACTGAGTGAACACAACAGGCAGGTGCTGTGTCAGAGACACCTGTGCCATCCAGGTGAGTGTGTGTGTGCTCAGGGCTGCCATAAATGCACAGGGAATGGGGAGGGCTGGCAGGGCACAGGGAATCCTGTCTGTGATTTAGTGTTGCTCTGCAGATCCACCTGACAGGAAGGCAGTCCCCAAAGCAAACCCTTCGCAGTGTGGCACTCACTGGACACAGCCCTGAGAGCAATCCCAGCATGGAACTCTCCTGTGAGCCCTCCCTGCTGCAGGTGAGCTGCTCTGTGAGGCAGGCAGGGCTGGGGACTCGCTGTCAGCAGCAAAATGCCCCTTCTGTTCTGTGTCAGCACAGGGTGACACAGCCCAGCCACAGCTCCCAGCCCTGCCACGTCTGACCGATTTTGTCTAAGTGTTCCTTTGCTCAGCATCAACCTGTTTGTTCCCCTGGTAATTATCCCTTCCCAGTGCCTTCAGCCTCGTGTCCCTCCTTACCTCTGGAAAACTGGTCATGTTCACTACAATGAGCTGTGGTGATTTCTGTGAGATCTGCCCCAGCTGGTTCAGTGGAAACTTCCCATCTTTGGTCACCACAGTGATGTGATCCAGGGCCCCTCAAAAGAACCAAACACAGGCACTTTCAGTACGATGCAGCAGTTTGCAGCAACGCTGAAGAAGTGTCCCACTTCCCTCCTGCTTTGCAAAATATAGATGTTACAAAGGAAAAAAAAAAAAAAGTGTTTATTCAGACTTCAGGTGCTGTTTGTGTTCAGGCATCCCCTGTGTATTCACAAGCTAAATATGTCAAAGCTGCTCTAAAACACAAAAAAAATTAAAACAAAACTCTTGTTTGTTTTTGCTACTAGAATTGGAAAATTAAGCAGTATTGTTAAGAATGGAAAGGAAATTGTTATTTTTTAATCCTTAGTATTTAAAGACAATAAAAATGTCACTATAAAATTCAAGAAAAATATTGTCTTTAACTTAGCAGTGCTCTCTTAAGCCCCTCTTTTTCCCCCCAGGTCCCCAGAGGGGTGTTGTACACTGCCTAATTTAAAGTATTCAGTTTCTCCCCGAGCTACTCTTAATCTGCTCTCTCGTTTCTGCTGCAAAATGTTAACAGGCCAAAAGGCACGTGGGACAGGAGGTACTTTATCAGTGCAATTAAAAAAAAAACCCTATGGTTAAAATAAATAGTTAAGAGACCAAGCTATGCTTTCCAGCTCCATTAAACACAGAAGTGCCCCTGCCAGAGCTGGGGTGGTGAATGATTCAAATTTGGTCATTGTTTAATGTTAAATTTTATCCCTGAAACTTGATACACTTACAAATGCCTAAGTTCAGAGTGTTACATTAACTGTGGCTTAGTCAAACGAATTCACATTTCTTCCTAAAGCACAAAATCCACTAAGTGAATGAGGCCTGTACAGGTCACTGCCCACAAAGATGCACAGCAAAAAAAAAAAAGTTTGTATATGCCAGACACCAACCTGATGGCAATTTCCAAAAGGCTAATTTGATGGCAATTGGATTTTTCCTGCCCTACTGCACCATTAGCTGACAACCTGCTTCTCCATCACATCTGCAAACAGTTCAGTTAGAGACTTTTGACATCTCCCACTTACAAAAGCTATTTCCAGGAAGCTATTAGCCAAAATGGATTCTTCCTGGTCAAGCTCAGGGTGAAGAAAGCCTTTTTAGCTGGGATGTCAAGGCTGCAGCAACTGGGTGCCCAGTGAAGAACTCCAGAAAAAAAAAAAACAAACAGCTCTGTAAAAATCAGAGTTCTCTGTTACTGGGACTTGTATCCTTATTTATAGGTCACAGAGCATCACACAAGGAATTCACCAACCTGGTGAGGTTCTAACACTGATGTTCCTGGTGAAGTCTTCTTTCAGAGCTTCTATGACCGCCTGCATGTCCTCATTGGTTTCCTCTAAATTGATAATATCCTCAACCAGGGCAGCACTGATATTCACTTTGGCTTGGCTCTGCCCTTTACCTTTAGCTGCACATCGCACAAAAAGAAAAAAATTAATTTCTATTTGAGACAACAGCTAGTTGCTGCATCAGGAAGTAGACTCAGTTCAGGACTGAGTCTAAGATAAACCAAAGTAACTACTTCTTAATGAGTAAATAGCTCAGTACTTGAGCACATGTGCCAAAATATATATATATAAAATAGAGAGGGGTTGCAAAACCAGGACCAAAGCTGCTGTTTTTACCCTTTTTGGTAGCCAGCTGTCTGCTCAGCAGCACCTGCTGGCCACACTGCCTGCAGCCCTCCAGGAGCAGGGCAGGGCAGCCCGTGGGAGCCCCTGGCAGCCCCCTGGTCAGCAGGAGGGACGAACGGTGCAGCAGGGATGGGACAGGACGGAGCCACCTCAGCGCCAGAGCCATCGTCACAGCTCCTCTCTGACCCACCTGGAAGAGAGAAAGGCAGGGGGCTACTCGGCCTGCTAAAAACAACCCGATTTAGGGCTCGGCGGTGCCCACGGGCACAGGGGGACAGCGCAGCGATGTCACACTGGGGGTGTGCAGTGGAAGGGGCTCGGCGGCTGCCAGGGGTCAGCGTGGGCTCTGCACATCCGTGCACATGGGCACGGGCTCCTGGTACGACCCCCGCGGCTGGAGCAGCTCGTACAGCACCGGGTGCGGGATGAAACCTCTGCCGCGCGATGTTTGACACCGCGGGGCTCCCGGGCCCTCAGGGGGTGTTCTATGGAGGCCCTGCTGCGGTGACACCGCAGTTACCGGGGGTAACTCCCCCCGGTCCCGGCGCGGGGGTCCCGGCAATGCCGACCCCGCTCCCGGCACGTGCGCGCCGGACACGCCCCCTCGGGGCCCCGCCCCTCCAGCTGGCCCCGCCCCCGGGAGCGAGGCCCCGGCCCCGCCCACACCGGCCGCTGTGCTCGGGACGCGCCGCCCCCACCGGGGCCCCGCGGAAGGGCGGGCTGGGAACCGGGGATCGGTGGGGGCGCGGGGACCGAGCGGGGGCCGGGGGGAGGGGAGGGGAGGGGAGAGAGAAAGGAAGGGGGAATTTGGGGCCGCCGCCTCGCTCACCGTCGCGCGGACCGCCGCGTCCCGCCTGGCGTCATCGGTGCGCGCGCGTGACGTCATCGAGCGGCGCCAAACGGGCGGGGCGAGGCCTGCGCGGCCCCGCGGCGAGAGCGGAGCGGGCCCGGAGCCCGGAGAGACCCCCGAGAGACCCCCGGGCACACCCCCGGCCATGGAGCCGGGCCGCCAGGCGCTGCCCCTCGAGAACGCGTCCATCCTGTCCGAGGGCGCGCTGCAGGACGGGCACCGCCTCTGGATCGGCAACCTCGACCCCAAGATCACCGAGTGAGTCGCGGCCCCCCCGGCGCCCCCGGGACGGGGCCGTGTCCCCCCCACCCCCGGGCGGGGTGTGCCCTGCCTGGCCCGGCCCTGCGGCCCCCGCGGCTCAGCCCCAGCTCTGCCGTGCCCCCGGTACCCGCGGGGCCTGGGACGGGTCCCCCCGGTTTGGGTGCCCCGGGAGGCGGCGCAGGCTGGTGCAGCACCCCCAGCTCTGCCTGTGCCCCCTGCAAGGAGTGACAGCCGCCCGCCCGAGCGGTGCCCGAGCCCCCCGGCCCTGAGGGGCAGCCCGTGTGGGGGGACGTGTCTGGGGGGTCCCTGAGGGGCTCAGAGGCAGGGCCTGAACCCCTGCAAACAGCACCCCCCGAGGCACCGCTCGGGCTGGGAGCCCGGGGATGGAAATACCCGTGTTCTCTAAACCGGGGAACGGGGGGAATATCACATTAAAGATTTCAGGGTGACAGTGGCCAAACAGTGGTAAAACAGGACACAGCCCTGGAAATCCTAACCCGGAGTGGTTGGGGTTTGTTGGGAAATGAGGTCTCGTATCCCCTGTGTCCCACAGGAGCCTGGGTTTGTTTGGCTGGGTGTGGGCTGAGCAGAGGAGAGTGTCTGAGTGACGAGGTGGGAGTGCTGTGGGTGCTGTGCCAGGCAACTGCACAAACCAAGCACGTGTGTGTGCAGTTTGTGCTTTCCCCAGGCTGCAGATAATCATCTCCTGAGCAAACACGACGTTTGAACAGCTAAATTGTCAGGGGAATGCGATGTACTGTCCAATATTTGGATGGTGTGCTGAGAAATCAGTAGGTTGTTTTAAAAAGGAAAAAAAAAAAAAGAAAGAAACCAAAACAATTTGGGGTTTACACACTCCTGAGGAACAAGCATTTTTGATTAACTATTGTGCGTGTCTGTCATGGAATACTTTCCCTTCCTGGTCCTTTTTGTGTGCGTGCAGGTGCTGGGGTTTTGTTCTGAGCGTGGTTCCTCTGAGCAGAGCAGTTCCCAAATAGCCCCTAAATGGGATCATTAATGCATTGTGCTGCTCAGCCATTCAGCTCGGGGAGCTTTCTGCATTCATTACCATTTTTATCCCACTCCCAGCTCCGTGGCTCTGGTTTGGCCACGTTCACTGACCACGTAAAATGGGATACAGGAATTCCTGAGGGCGTTGTTTTCACAGATTCAGGAGCTGGGTTGGTGTGAGGGGAGGAGCAGTGGGTGCAAGTGCCTTGGGTCTTCACTTCCCAGGGTGATCCTGAGTGCTGTTCAAGGCCCTCTCAGTGCAGGTTGTTCCTCTGAATTTCAGCCAGACAGGTGATAGTTTTACATGGCCAAATTCACTGTTTTCATCACCTGGCTGAAGCGAGTTTGATGTTTTCATTTTCCAGGCTCCTAAATGTTTCAAGTTTGCCCAGTGATGAGTGACAATGCTTGTTGCTTATTTCAGGCTTTGTAACCCTGTGTCTTGCTTTTGGTTTTGCTTTCAAAATGGCTCTCTTCTCTCCTGAAAATTGTATTATATCTCCATTTCCTTGTGAATAAAAGAAGAGGAAGTTCCTTTTAACACATTGTCAGCGTAGGGAGAAAGTATGTGGTCCAAGATGAGGCCAGTAAGTTTCTGTAAATCATCTTGCCCTTTATTCTCTCATACTGAGGGTTTGCTGCTCATCTCGAGCTCAGCCTCAACAACCTTGTTGAGGTTACTGCTCACATGACTAAATCACACCCCTGAAAAATAAGTGGCTGGTTTTTTTGTTGGCTGCTTTTTATCTGTTTTTTAAAATAGTTGCCTTTTTTTATTTCTGTGCTGGGTTTGTTTAGGACAGAGTAAGGTTTTGGGGGTTACTGGGTAACTGTTTTGGGGGGTTACTTGGGGGTCACTGACTCAGCTGGGAGTGCTGACACACTGGGTTAGGGTGGGTCTTCTGGTGGGCACTGCTCCTTGCTGGTGATGTTTGTGGGTGACTTCTTCCATCCAGCATCCTTAAAGGACTGCCTGCCTGTGGAAGGAGATGGCATTGGGAGTCTCCTGAGAGTGCTCTGAGCAGCTGGAAGGAGGTGAGCTGGCACCAGGGGACCTCGCAGCTGTGTGTGACACAGGACACTGTCCCCAGGCACTTGTGGTGCTGAAGGATCCCTGTGGGGTCTGCCAGGGCAGTGCAGGAGCAGAGCAGCAGGTGGCTGGTTGTGGTTGGGTGTCACTGAGCAGGGAAGCCCCCTCACCGTGGCCGTGGGCAGCGCCTGGTGCACCGTTTGTCCCCCAGGGCAGGGGACGTGCTGTGGCTCAGCTCTTTGATCCCATCACCCCTCAGTGCTCCCATCCCAGGGGGCAAAGCCTCGTAGTTTGGTCACATCTCCGTGTGGCAAGCGGGGCAGGAGTGCCTCCTGTGCCCGTTCCTGTTTGCAAAGCCCTCCAAGACCTCTCAGCGTTCGGGGCAGGCAGGGATTTCGCTTTCAGCTCTCTGCTCGCACACACCTATTTATCATCTGGCTTCCCGTAGCCTCTGAATGACCAGTCATTTTCCGCAGGGGGTGACATAGCGGGTGTTCGACTTCCTCGGCCGCTGTGCTGCTGTGGAGGATCCCATGCCGACGAGTGTCACCTGGAAAACAATGTGTGCAGGGGTTGTTGTCGCGGCCCCCCGCTGGGCCCCGCTGGGGCAGAATTCCTCGCCGTAATGGCTTTCGCATGTGGCCGGCGCAGCGCGGGCTCCTCGGGACACCATTGTTCAGAGGAAGCCTTGCCTGCGTCTCAATAGCGCTGGGGGTGCCAGGAGGAAGGGAGGAGGAAGGGGAAATGGGGGAGCTGCTGGTTTGTGTCGCATCCACATCAGATGACGGGAAGCGGGGATGGAGGGTGGCCGCGGCTGTGCCAGCACCCCCCGGCTCTGCACGGCCCACGGGGTTGCCATGGCAAAGCTTTGCACAGGGCCTCACTTCTTTTTTTTTTATTATTAAGGCTTCAGGTTTTCTGTGACTGATCTTCCTTCAGTACTGAAGTCCTGGAGAACTGCTTGTCAAGTTACTGTTAGTGCCCTCGATATTTTAGCAATACAAATCATAATCACGGCCTGCAACATTTAGTTGTGCGAGACTTCTGAGCTGTTCCATGGAGGGTAGGCGACCTGCAGTTGCAGAATTGCAGGCATGGCTGGAAAAATTGCATTTGCATCCTCTTCAGTCTAAATAAAATAGGTGACATAAGTTGCTTCTAGACTCTTAATGAAGTTTGTTTTCAAGGAGCAACTGCCACCTCGCTGCTAAGAAAGCGTTATTTGGATGCAGAGATTCTCAGAAGAAAACAAACCACAAAGAATTCCTTTTGGCAGGACAGCTGCAGGGTTTTGTTGGTGCTAAACAGAACACAGGGAGAATCCTCCTTGCCCTTCCCCTGCCTCTGTAATGGCCAGAAGGGGAACAGCATTCCAGTGATAGGGACTTTATTTCCATCCTGCTGAAATTCTAAGGGCTTTTTTCAGCATTATGTTTATAGAAACAAACCTGAGGTGCGTTCCCATATTTTGGAGGCTCTGGAAGTTCAGCATGGAGGTGTTTTTTTTATACATCACATCTCCAAAGTCATTTTTTTCAGGTGTACATCTGTGACTGCTCATTGCAAGCGTGAGCTGGACTGGTGAAACTTGGCTGCTGTGTAACCAGCTCCTTTTTTGCCCTGCTCTTTTCTGTCCCCCTTGCCTTCTGAGCACAGACTGAGGGTTCCTAGGCTTCTTGGAAGACCATGCCCTTGGTCTGCATTCTGAAGGATGTAGGAAGCCTCCCATAATCACTCACAATGTGTGTGCTCCCCTGGGAGACAGCCTGGCCCTGCCGCGCTGCTCGTCGGTGCACACGCTGCACCTTCACCTCTTTACCAGAGCACATCCTGAATGTCCACCGTGACCCATCCTGTGGGATGACTCACATTCCTGGAACTTTCTTGCCTGGCTCCTGAAGCTTAACAAAGGGCTAAAGCCCTTTTCAGACATCCTACCAGGCTTTATTAGGAAAAATGCTGTCTGCCCTTCCCATCTGGACTGTCCCTGGAGTTGCCTGGTGCACTTGGCTGGCTTGGGCCACTTCTGAGCATTCGTGTCTGGACATGGGAGGCTTCATCCAGTGCCTGCTGCTCCATGGGCACTTGGTGTTATCCTGCCAGGCTTTCAGAGCACTGAGTGTTACCTTAAACACTGAAAATTGGGCTTAGACTACTTGGCTGTCTAACAAGCGCTGTACAGCTCTTGGAAGATGAGTCCTGACTAAGGCACCCTTATTAAACAGTTAAATAACTCTTAGATGCCAGGGATGGGGTCAGGCAGTGAAGTAGCAACTTTCCTCCTAGGTCAGCCAGTGTTGTTAAACACTTCAGTCCCAGGGAACCAAAAAAGCTGCAAAGAACTTTCGGGATCAGATGTGGCCAGAGCAACAAATGTGCTCCTTGTTTGAAGTTGCTCCATGCACTAGATACTAAGCAGACAGATTTACCCTGGCTTTCCCTGATTTTATTGGAAACAGCACACGATCCCCACTGGATGGCAGGAAGATAATTGGCTAGAAAAGTGTCTGACTTCCACGAGCATGTCACTGAAAAGCTGTCTGAGCCAAAAGCACTGGCAGATTTAGCCTGGATGATAGTGAGGGCTGTCTGGAGAGGAATTCAGGGGATGGAGCTTCAGGTGGTCGCATCAGGGCTGGAGGGGGGAGGCAAGGTGGTTATGCTTCAAAGTAGGTGTGATTTAGAGAGGCAGAAGCCATTGCATAATTGCCCCAAAGCCAGCTATTAATAGATGTTCTGTGTGCCCTTCAGCTGGCAGTGCTGGGAGGCAGCTTTGTGCCTTGGGCTTCTGGAGAGTCGCTGATAACACCACTCAGAGCTCTGGGTGCTGGAGGGGTGCTGTACAGGGCACCCCCCTCTGCAGGGATTTGGGAACACGTGTATGACACTGCTGAGTGTGAACCGTGTGTGTTGGGGGGTTCCTCTCTGTCTCCTCACTTTCAGTGTGATAAAAGGTGTCATAAATGTCTTCTCTCCCTTTCAGATACCACCTTCTGAAACTCCTTCAGAAGTTTGGCAAAGTAAAGCAATTTGACTTCCTCTTTCACAAGTCTGGTGCTCTGGAAGGGCAGCCAAGGGGTTACTGTTTTGTGAACTTTGAAACCAAACAGGTAAGTTGCTTTTATCTAAAGTTCTGATGGTTTCTTCCCCCCCCTTTTTTTTTTTGGTTTTAATATTAATTTAGAGCTACAGCAGGAAGGGATAAATTCAATACCTTGTGTGCCCAAACCCATGGACTCTGACAGCTCCACTCTGTCACAGCCACTTTGTGACTGCTCCTGGAAGTAACCAACAGTGATTTCCTTTCTCCTCTGCTCTCTTTCTCTGAGTCCTGCTTTCTAATGCTTATCAGAAAGGGCCAGTTCTTTGGCCCACTTTTGCAGTGAGCTCATGGAGTTGTACAGGCTGTGATCCACACCTTGAACCAGCCTGCCAGACCACCTGAAATCCAGAACTGCTCTGGACTCCTCCTGGTTTTAATTTTGGCTTCATGAAAGCACAAACCCCAGCTTATACAACATGACACATCTGCAGCATCCTGGAGCGAGCTGCCCTTAGCTCTCCATTTGGGGTTTTAACTCTCGTTACAAATCAGAATTTCAAGTCATGCTCAACATCAGAGTTGTAGTTATTTTGTCGTAATTCTGCCAGAATTGTTCAAAAGTTAGGAAGAAGAGCATGTTTGGAGGTTGCTTGTGTCTGTATGACCTCAGCTGCTGACAGGGATGTCAGAAGACCCCTGACACTGGATTAGCCCTAGAAAATTATTCACAGCAAGGTGGAGCAGCATTGCAACATAAATCTTCAGCTGCTGTGAGTCAGGTTTTATGGGAGTGTCCCAAAACTGCTGAGAACAGGATGGAGTGGATCATGTCCCCAGTGCCCACGAGCAGGATTGGGAATGAGCGTGGATAGGTGTTAATGAGACACGTGTAATCACTGTAAGGAGCCGCAGTAGCATAAACCTCCCTCTGAATGCTGTATTTTCCCCATTTCCTCCCCCCAAACGAGTGAAGGATAAACCAGTAATGCTGCTAAGTCTCTTCCCTCAGATGCTGGAGTCTTCCAAAGGTATCCCTGGGCTGGGCTACAAGGGGGTAGGCTGTGTTTGCCCTGGGTGAGCTGCGCTTACAGCAGGCCGGTTAACAAAGGGAAGAGGCTCTGTGCATGTGAGTGGGTTTTGACTAAAGGCTGGGTTTGTTTATGGAACTGTCTTCCTGTGCAGGAAGCGGAGAAGGCGATCCAGTGTCTCAATGGGAAGCTGGCCCTTTCCAAGAAGCTGGTGGTGCGGTGGGCACACGCACAGGTCAAGGTGAGCGGCTGGCTGCGAGCAACAACTGCTCCTCACTGCAACACTGAGGAACTTCAGTGTTCAAAAACAGTTCTTATCAGAGGTGTGTTGGATCAGCAAGGCAGTTTCAGTCTGCTCTAGGAAACACCTCGTGGAGCTGGTGCTAACAATGCACAGCTCCTCTTGTGTACCCAGGCTGTGCTGGATGAGCTGGGGGTGAGGACGGGCCCTCTAACCTGGTGTTCTCTGTGAGGGGATTTCTGATCACGGCAGTGGGAACACATTACTTCTATAAATGTCCGTGTTTCACTTTTCCCAAACTTAGTGAGTAATTGGCTGGAAGTTTGAATCCTTCCCATTGTGGTTCTGCTCCCTTTTGGGATAGCAGAGGTGTGGAAATTCCCAATTACCGGTCACTGTGTTACTTTGTTTCACTTCTGAAAGCACTTTCGTGACAGGAGCTCTAATTAGCCTTGTCTTTAAAGTAATGTATTTCACATCTAAGATAAATATCCTTTTATTGCTTGCTCTGTCCCATAAACAATCAAGTTTTTAATACTAACTTGGACTGTACTTCCTGGAACATCCTTGTTTTAATTTTTTTTTAATTCTTGTCTCGTTTCTCCTACAGTTATTTACTATCTCATATTTGATAAAGCAATTTATTTTTAATAAATTTCTTTGCAGATAAACAGATTTTGGGGGAGGCAGAGGGGAGCTGTTTGTTGCCATGTTCCTTTGGGCAGTTTTCTTTTAGCCCATGTTGATTATCCTACAAGCAGCTTTCTACTCTCTCCTATCAAATGTATTCGTGCATCTGTTTTGGATGCTAAGAACCCAAAGCAGGTATCTCCATGGGAGGAAACCATGTTGTTTTAATTATTGACTTCAAGGGCTCTTGTCAGCACATCCAGGCTGGTGCAAATCCTGTCTCCATTTTCTGTAGCTCTGTAGTCCTGGAGTGCCACGTGCTTCCAGAGGCCTGAGGAAGGATCAGGCCATAAAAGGAGTTTGAGGAGTGAGTGTCTGCTCAGCTGGAGCTGAGCTGGGCAGCTCTGGGCTTGGCTGGCCAGGATCTGGGGGGGAACATGCCTAAATCATCACTTTGGTGCACGTGGCATTTTGTAATCCCCCAGTGGAAAGATTGAACAGCACAAAACTTGGGCTTATTGTAGCAAGTGTTTGTTTTAGACAAGAGCAGCACAAGACAGGCAGTTCTGAGATGAGTGGCCCAGGCTCACCAGACACTGTCAGTCTGAGCAGCTCTGCTGAAAACCAGACCTGACCCTGTGCCAAGCGAAATAAGGAAGCAGAACGCTGCAAATAGTTCAGGAGGCCCGTTGCCCACAGAGATGACAGACTCACAAGCTGCTTTCCACAGAAAGGAGGTGGTTCCTGACCGATCTTTTTTTATTTCTTTCCCCTTCTTTTCTCCCAGCACCGCCTCATTCTGTGCAGTCATGTGCTTGGGTCACCCTCTGGCTCAGCACATGAAGAGCATAGCAAGCAGTTACCTTAAGATTTACCATCTTTGCTTCCTGCCTTATGTAGAGGGGAACAAGAAGTGACAGGATGAGGTTTAAGGATCCATAGAACAGCACACATAACTGCTATCAGAGTTGACATCCCCTGCTGGTACTAACCAAATACTGTGCTTGGGATTTGTTTCTGTGCTTGGCCACTCGAATCCTTGCTAGCCAAAGCTTCACAAAACCCGAGGTGATGTTAATCCAGCTTTAAAGTGTACCTGTGGGGAAAGGTTTCTTTGTTCCTAATTCCAGCTGGCTCAGTCCTTGGTCTCTTCCTTGCAGAGATACGATCACAACAAAAGCGAGAAGATCCTTCCAATCAGTCTGGAGCCATCGTCCAGCACGGAGCCGCCCCAGTCCAACCTAAGGTAGGAGATGGGGGGTGAGAGGTGACCCAGCTGTGGGGCTGGCAGGGAACCAACTTCTTCCATTTCAGTAAGATTAAGGTTTAGAGCTGTTGGCATTGTTTGTGCTAAAAATCTACTGTGGCAGAAGAGCTGTCTTTGGAAGGGCAGCTGCTGTGAGGTAACTCGTGTAATGTGGGACGTTTCAGACTGCAAGTTTATTTTCTAACATGCAAAGCTACTTGGGCAGTGGGAAGGAAAAGAGGTGAGGAGAGGAATTGGGAGTGTGTAGCATTCCAGCTCCTTTGGCCACAGTATGCTTTGGAGTTCGTGTGAGTGAGGGGGTTTGTAGTGGACTGATTTGTTTCAGCGAAATGCTTATCAGCAGAAATTTCTACTGTAGTGGCAGAAGATTTAAAACAAAATCACGAGCAGTATTTAACATAAAACTAATTTATTTTATTTCTTTTTGCTGGTGTTAGGGCTGTAAGTCTTGTCTGTGGGATGTGATAAGGTCCAACCCCTGTATTTACCTAGAGCACATAGTGCTGCTTTGCTGATTCTCAGTATGGCTGAGAGGGTGTGTGGTTTTCCTCTGTGTTGTGTCAGTGGAACCCTATAAGGAACCAGGACCAGATTAATGCATTAGTCTCCAGATAAAATGAGCCTGGAATTCAGAAGTAACAGGCTAGGAAGCAAGGAGCAGAGGGGTTTGAGTCATGCAGATTGCTGGCTGCATCAGTGGCACAAAGGGGTTGTTCTAGTGAGGATGGATGGTGCAAGAAGCCACAGCGGGGAAGGGAACATTCCTCGGTCCATATCCAACGGAGGATAGTGAATAACAAAAGTCCTAGGAATTTGGGGTGTAACCTAGGATAGCTTCTCCCTTTGGGATAAACCCTGCTAATGCTGAAATAATGTTTCTTCCTGACCTAATTAGAGTCTGGGGTTTTCCCATCCCGAGCAGGCTGTAGCTGGGAGGAAGTCTGGCTTTCATTTCTGTGCTGTTCCCAGCAGCCTGCTCGGGGCTGTCTCTGCTGCACATGCTCAGACCTCCTGAAATGACATCATTTCACATGGAGTAGGAAGCCTTGTGGTGTTCTTGTCTCAGCGTCCCCGAGAAAGTGCTGAGTCGGTGCAGGGGCCGTTACTTTGTGGTGCTGTGATGTATCTTGGAGGAGCAAATCTGTGCTGAGGGTTGAAATGCAGCAGTGTGGGCTCTGAGCAGGGCATTCCTGCCTCTGTGGATGCAGCAGTGGGGCTGTCTGGCCCCTCCTCATGTGTGTCAGCCAAATCTCTAGATTGCTGTAGTCTGATTTCATGCTAAGATCAAGATGAATCTCTCTTCTGCTTTTTCTCTTTCCAGTGTCAGTGCAAAAATAAAGGCCATTGAAGCCAAGCTGAAGATGATGGCAGAAAACCCCGACGCAGAATATCCCGCAGCACCTGTTTACTCTTACTTCAAACCACCCGATAAGAAAAGGACTACTCCTTACTCCAGAGCTGCCTGGAAATCCAGAAGATGATGCTTTAGGAGTGGATGGTGGTAGCAAGAAACACTGCTTTGTATCCGTGGAGTGCTCCAGTGCTTCTGTACGTTGTAGAGTGGGAAGGACACTGCCACCCGAGCAGGGCACGGCTGGCCAGGCACGGCCTGTCCCACCCGAGGGGCTGCAGCCCCTGCCAGAGCAGCTCACAGCTGAAGGCTGTTCAGAGAAGTAGGTTCCCCTCAAAGCCTCTGATGAACACGCAGACAACCTCTCGTTAGCGTGCATTCATTAGCCAGATTAGAAACAGTAACCAGCGTACGGAGCAAAGCACATCCAAAAATACTCCATTTAACTGATTACTTTTTAAGTATTTTTGAACAAAAAGTATTCCGGTTCATGTTTTAATGGAGGGGAAGCACTTGGTTTTGATTAACATGCTGTAGTTACCATGGAAAACTTTTTCATCTCAATAAAACTCATTTTAAATAGATTTTGCAACACTTCTAGTAACTGTGCATGCAATATTTGATATGCACCAAAGCCAGTTGACTTTGCACTTTGATTTGCAGGCTTCACAATGTTACTTTAGGATGTGATAACTTTAAGCTAATGACACAGCACAGGTATTTTCAGTGTCATTTAGGCTGTAGGTGTGTGCCTCTGTGTAGGTGTGTTTACACACCACTGATGTGCTGTGTCCTGAGCTTCAGAGTTTGTGTTCAGTGATCCCCATCAGTGGTAGCTCCTCATGAGCCAGATGTGACAACATGAGCGTAACTGCAGCCTCTGAGACACCTGCTGAGCCTGTGACCTCAGTGTTTGCCACCCATCCAGCCCAGCTCTGGTTTCCACAGGCTGGTAAAGGTGGACAGCTGCCTCTTGCTGTGTTTGTGGTGAACTGGGCCTGCTGTGAGCTGGGATTGCCTGCCCCAGGGGCTGACTCCACAGGTCTGATGGATGGCTCTGGATCTGATCTGCAGCCCATTTTCTCCCTAAATATCTGCAAAATAGAGATCTGAGGGAAAAAAATTGTTTTCCTTTGTGCACACAGTGCTGTGAGTGCATTGCCAGGGGGATGGCAGAGGACCAGGTGACACTGATCTCACTTTCCAGTGTGTGCTGTCCCTACTCCCATCAGACCTCGTCGGTCACTCTGGAGTTGCTTCCCCAGCCCTCAGACAAGAGGAGGACGACAGTTTTGAAGGAGCCCTGGTTTGTGCAGGCAGGAGTTGCTCATTGGCACAGCCCAGGGAGGTTTGTGTTCCCGCAGCAGCACCTCCCTCCAGGCACAGCTTCCTGCTTCCGAACCCAGCACCTGGAACGGAGCCGTGCGCGTCTGGTGGAGTGACTGTTGAGAGATGAATTGTTCAGAAGTAGGTCTCATGCTGTTAATGTTTGCTTCCTAGTTTTTGGGTACCTGACTAAAGGGAAAAGTCATATCCTTGGGAGTTTGTACCCCTCGGAGTGTCAGTAACACCGGTTTACATTCCTCTGTGAGCAGCCTGTGTTTGTTCCTGCGTGCTCCAGCAGTTGTAGCTCTCTGGGTATATATCTGCATTGTTTAGAACAGCTCTCAGTTCTGTTCCCGTTAGGAATTTGGAAGATACCTGGATTCAAAGCGGGTGTGTGGTTGTGCTCCCATCAGAAACATACTTTGATATTTATTTGTATTTAAATACAACTTGTTGAAATTCTCACGGCTCTAAGTAAACATTTAAAATGCATGTTTTCCTCCAGGAAAGCGAGGGTGGCACAAGCAGGAAGTGAGTGAGGGTGGTAAATGCTTGGCATCAGCCGAAGTCCACGGATGGAACCCGGGTACAATGGCATCAGTCTTTTTCTTTTTTTTTTTTTTTAAATTATTTTTTTGCACTGCCACTGTCACTAACAGAAGTGCCTTGTCTGCAGCTCAGCCAGACTCAGACCTGGGGGAGCCTTATTGCAGGTCAGTGTTTGTGTTGGTCGTTGCTGGTGCTGCCGGCGCTTCCCGGGAATGCTTCACTTCCCACGGCCCTGCAGCAAACCCAGAGAGTTCCTCACCCTGGAGCTGGGAGGAGGTAGATTCTCAGAAACGTGTTTTCGTGAGCATCAGCCTTGGGACTTGGCATAAAACCATCATAAACCAGGTTTGAAGGGCAGCGGGGAGCACGGCGCTGCTGCAGCCAGGTCTGGAGCTGTAAGGGGGAAGGTTGGCAGCTGGTGGTGGGAAGGAGAGTGGGGCTTGGTGCCCGGCTTCCCTGAAGAGGAATCAGGCTGTTTCTCACCTGCAGCACATAGTCCTGTCTTTGGAGGGGATCCTTGCTTTCCCTGTATTTCCAGCAGATCCCAGGAGCAAGTGAGGTACCAAGGGCGATATTCTCTGTGTCCATGGTGTGGGCTTTTCCTCGGTGTTTCTCCTGTTCTTCTGCCTGTGGTGACAGTCCCTCACTCGGGATGAGTACGGGATCGTGCCTTCACTGTGGGAACACAGGGCATTCCCAACCCCAAATTTCAGGATTCTGGATGAGCCACTCTTTGACGCGCTGCCACCTCGTTGCTGCCTTGTTTGAGCTCCAGCACTGGTGGAGGGAGCACATGGGGGTAAGAGTGGGGATGGAGTCGGTGCTGATACTCAGTATCCACTGCTTTGCATTCCCTGGGCACTGCCCAGGCCCTGCTCCTGGTGCAATGGGCACCTGTGAGATCTGCCCGCTCTCAGCAGACCTGCTGCCTGCAGGGGCCAGGATGTGACCCCAAGGCTGGGGAGTGGCAGAGGCTGGGCTGGAGTCACCCTGTTCCTGAGCCTCTTCTGACTTTGCGGGGCCCAGAGAGCCTGGTCTTTAATGAGCAGCACAAGGTGAGTGTAGCTGGGTGGTGCTGGGCCGCGGTGCTGAGCCACGGCCATCACAGCCCGACCTCGCTCTGCGATGCAAACAAACCCTGCGTGGCCCTGCCTCGACCAGCGCTGCGTAGGGGGACAGACAGCTTTCGTGGCTGTGTCCATGAAAACTCCTACGTGTTTCTTCTGGAGCAGCCAGAGCTAATTGAGACCCTGCCAGCGAGAACGAGGGGTTTAAATTGTTCTTTCTTAGCATCCCGCCTCTGCACTTGTCCACGTCCCCCCATGCTCGGCCTCTGCGGAGCTGGGGACAGATGGGAGGATGAGCTGGCAGGCCCTGGGCACTCTTTCCTGGGGGTTTCTCGGGCTTTTCTGCAACCTCGATGTTTAAACCTAATGCCTTGTATTTATTCTAAAATGGCTTTCATCTGATTTCCCTCTCGGTTAACAATTTAGCTGTCACAATCAATAAGGGCGAGGATCCATCCCCGGCCGCCATCAGCTCACGTTACCGTCCTGCAATTACCCGGCGGTGGCACCGCTGCCGGGGCTTTGCTGGGGAATTATCAGGTTACTAATGAAGCCCGGGCAGAGGCGGGCGGCCAGACGCCGCGGCGGTGGGCGCGATCCCCGCCGCCGCGACCCGCGGGGGGCTGCGGGGCCGTCCCGGACCGTGCGCCCCGTCGGGGCGGGCAGCGGCTTGGCAGCACCGGGACGAGCCGGACCGGGGGTCCCTCCCGCCCTGCCCTCCCCGCCGCGCCCGCGGGCGGTGCCGCCGCCGCAGGTAGCGGGGCCCGGCAGGGCGGGCGGCCCCCGGGGCGCTGCGGGGGCGCCGCTTCCTGCCCGGCCCGCGGCCGCCCCGGCAGGGGCGGGGCCGGCGCGGTTCCCCGCCCGGCTCCCCGCCCTTCCTGCCGCGGCCGCGGGACGCGCCGCCCGCGGGCACGGAGCGCGGCGGCGGCGGGCGGAGCGGCGCACCCGCCCCATGCACCGGAGCCATGGGGGCGGGCAGCCCCGGGGCCCGGGCCGCCGCGCCCCGGCCGGCGCCCAGGCGGGCAAGGTGAGCGCTGCCGCCGCTGCCGTCGGGGCCGGGAGCGGGGCCGGGGCCGGGCCGGGCCGGGGCTTGGGGCCGCTCGCTGCCTCCCGCGCCGGAGGGGTGGATTTTTCCATCCCGGCGTTTTCTGGGGCGTTTTGTGCTCGGCAGAGGGAGAGGGGGAAGAATTTCGATTTTTAATTACTACCATTAAAAAAATCAAATTTGCAATTCTTTGGGTGGCCTGATGGATTCCCTGATTGACAGCCGGAATTGACACTCTGGTACCTCTTATCTCGGGCATTTACGGCAATTTCTAATTGCAGGTAGTTTGGGGGGTTTTTCAGCGCCTTGGCTCGCATGGGAACCGAGCGATTACTTCAAGAGGCCCGGGTTAAGTGCAGGCAGGGGGAGAATTCAATCCACATTCAAATTGCTTCATTAAAGAGACGCAGCTTTTGTTGCAAAGGATTTAAATGGCCACTAGAAAGTTCTTATTTATTGTTTTGAGGCGGTTTATATAGGGTGCCCCGCGCTCGCCCGGCGCATGGAGCCGCAGCCTCCCTCTCCCGCTCTCTCCATCAAGGTGATGCCGCCGGAGCCGCTGCCCAAGGGGAGTGCCCGCTGCCTCGATCCACACTCCCGCGCCATGGTAAGCGGGGCTGGGGGCTGCGGGGACCCGCCGGGCCAGGGATGCGGGGTCGCACTGGGCCGGGGATGCCGGGAGCTCTGGGGACCCGCCGGGCCGGGGGCTGCGGGAACGCGTCGGGCCGGGAATTACGGGGTTCCCGCCGGGACCCTCCAGGCCAGTGTTGTCAGGGGTTTGTGGGTGCCCACCGGGCCGGGGATGCCGAGAGCTTCGGGGAACCGCCGGAACGCTCCGGTTCGGGGCTGCGGGGAACGGCGGGGCCCCGGCTGACGGCCCCGCGGCGGCTCTGCCCGCAGTCGCAGCCCGACGGGGAGCCGCTGCCCGGCGCCCTGGAGAAGGAGGACGCCCGCTCAGCGCCCAGCACCCCGTCCACGCCGTCCGTCTGCTCCCCGCCATCCTCCTCCTCCTCCACGCCGTCGGCCGGCAAAAACGTCTGCTCCAGCTGCGGACTGGAGATCCTCGACCGGTACCTGCTGAAGGTGAGCTGGGCGGGGGCGGCGGGGGCGGCGGGGGGCGGCGGGTGGCCCCGGGTCTCAGCCCCTTCTCTGCCGCAGGTGAACAACCTCATCTGGCACGTCCGGTGCCTGGAGTGCTCCGTGTGCCGCACCTCGCTGCGCCAGCAGCACAGCTGCTACATCAAGAACAAGGAGATCTTCTGCAAGATGGACTACTTCAGGTAGGGACCGGGCCGGGGCCGTCCGAGGGGCTCAGCCGGGTGCCGCGGGGCCGGGGCTGCTCCGGTGCTGCCGAGGGGAGGGTTTGGAAAAGCCGCCGGGCTCCCCGGAGCAGCCGGGCGGGAGACGACCCTTGGGGCACGGGAAAAGAGGCAGAAAGGGAGGTTGGGGTGCAGTTGCCCACCCTTCGGAGGGGTTCCTGCCCCCCGGCCGTGGCTGTGCGGGCCGCCCCGAGCTCCCCGTCTCAGCGGCGGGAGCGCCCGGCTCCGTGGGTGCGGCGTGGCGGGGATGGTCCCCGCGGCAGGGAAACGGGGATGGAATGGTCTCGTCCCGGCTATTGCCGGAGGGTAAATTGGTGTTGCCGGCCTGCGGTGCCCAGCGCCTTTGGGGAGCTCCTGTCCACGCTGCGGCCCCGCAATCGCCGAAGCGTCCGCGGCGGGAGCGCGTTATGGAACCGAAACGAACGACGGGCGGCGGTCCCGGGGCTCGGGCCAGACCCGCACCCCTGGAGCAGCCTGTCCCGCAGGGACGATATTCTGTCTGCGTCAGTCTTTCTGTTCTAAACCTTAAACCATGAATTTTCCCCTAATTTGAGTGGAACGAGGGGACTGAGTATCTTGAGCTGCTCGCCAGGGTTTAACTCAACATCGGAACCCCCTCTCTGACTTTCTCCATCCTACCAGGATGAGGGAATGCTGTTTGACCCGAGAGGAAGGGGAATGGCGGGCAGGAAATGGGAATGACCCTGGCGGGGCGCAGGGGGCTCGGAGCATCCTCCGGCCGCGGCGGAGCTCGGGGCTTGCCCCGGCGGCAGCGGGCAGGGGAGCTCGGGGGGCACCTCGGAGATTCTTCCGGTGCTTTTTATTAAAGGGTCTGCAAATACCCGATTTTCCGCAGCTCAGCCCCTGCTCCCGCTGGCCTTGGTGCGGTGCCGCCGGGGGTGCGGGGCTCGGAGAGCCGGGTCGGTCCCGGGGTCGCGGCGCTGTGCGTCCTGCCCAGTGATGGTGGTTGTTGTCATTATTATTAATAGTTATTGTTATAATTTTAAAACTGCAATTTTCGGTGATTTCACCGAAATCTCCTCCACTCCACAAAGAAAGGCTCTGGCGGTCCCGTGGCCACGGTGATGTTTTGGGGCACTTTAAGCGTTTTCATTCATTTATCACCGTTCTGGTGCCGTTGATGTGTGGTTTAATTTTGGTTTATTTTTAAGAGCGAATCTTTCCGAAGGCGGTTTTAAAGTAGCGCCGAGATCTCGAGATGACCTTCGAACAAATATGGCAAATAGCAGCGTTAAAATCGATCTGTTTCGCGAGCCCCCCGTCCGAGCAGCCCCGATGGCCTCGTTCGGTGGGAGCAGCCGTGCTGTGCGCGTCGGTATTGACGGGCCAAAGGGAAATAAAACGAAAATCGCGGAAGCCGCGGCAGGACGCTCCCGGTTCCTGCGGCAACCGTTCTGGGGGCGCGGGGGCTCCCAGCCCGCGCTCCGCAACTTACCTTTTGCACTAAAAGGTGGGGATTTGGGGAGATTCTTTTTTGGTTTGGGGTTGGTTTTTTTTTTGGTGAATCTGAGCGGCGGCGGCGGCTCTCAGAGCGCGGCGGGTGCGGAGCTGCCTCTCTCGCCCCAGCCCCGCGGGGATTGCTGCCGAGCCGAGCCCCGGGCCGGCCCCGATGCGGTGGTCGCGGCAGCGGGCGGGGGTCGCTCCCGCGGCGGAGCCCGCCGGACTGAGCCGCCGCCGTCGGTGCCGGTGCGCGGCCGCTTACCAGGGTTGGGGCCGGGGCAAATCTCCCCGGCTGTCCCCGGCCAACTCGGCTCGTCGGTCGCTCCCTCCTGCAGCCGCCCGGCCCTGGGAACATGCCGGCCGGCATCTTGTTGATTCCGGCCAGTGAGACTCAGGGCTTGGCACAAAACAAACCTGACCCTTGGGATGGATTTTTAAAATTTTGTTTATTGTTTGCTGTAAATGAAATGTGTGGGTTTTGGTTTGGTTTTTTTTTTTTTTAAAGCAAAGCAGAAACCCCATCCTAATGCGTGTGGTTTGGAGCCAAGGCAGATGGAAGGGGATGCTCTGCATGGAGCACACGGAGCACTCTGGTGCTGGTTCCTCTGACACTGGCGCTGTTGGGGGATGCTGAGGATGGAGGCTGACAGGCATGGGGCTGTCATGTCACAGCCCCACTGCCCACGGGGAGCATGGTTAGGCCTGCTCTGTCTGAGTGTCGGTTCCCTGTCCCCGTGAGGGGCTGTGTGGAGGTGCTGGCACTGCCTTGGCTCCGCAGCCTCATGTGCATTTTTAAGCAAATACTGCTGTTTCCTGTGTCTTGTCAAATAATTACATTTGGCATCCAAGGCTCCAGTGCTTCAAGGAGAACCAAATTAAAATTGGATCTCATTGAGCAGAACATTGTGTTCCTGGGCAATGACCAAGCTCCCACAGCTCTAGTCACCCCAAGGCCTGGCATGATCCCAGTGTGATTCCTGCTGTGCCCCTCTGTGACCCTGATGGGCAGCCCACAGGCATGTGAGCATGGGGTCACTGGCCTGGCTGTGGCTCAGGGGGCTCCATCACCTCAATGCTCCAGCTTGAGCAGTGCCGTGGCACAGCATGAAGATGCTCGCTGAGGCACCCGCTGCTCCGCTGGGAGATTGGGATGATGACTGGAAGCTGCAGCTGCCTCTGAGGGCTGTGTTTGGGACTTCCTACAGAGTGGAGACAGGAGATGTTTGGAGCTGTGACTGGCCCTGGGGCTGAGTGTCCCTTGCCCTGTCCCCACAGGCAAGGATGGGGCTCAGGGAGCTGTGGCACCGGGGGACAAGCGGTGTTTGAGAGCCAGCACACACCAGAGCATCCTCCCGCCTCTGCTCTTCCCACTCCCCAGATGATGCGGCCGCCCCTGGGGGAGGTGGGATGAGTCTTTCTGGGATGAGTCTCTCTGGGATGAGTCTTTCCTGGTAAAGTTGTTGTCAGCTTCCATCTCCCAGCGTTAACCTTTGTGGAGAGCCATCAGCATCCGCTCACCCGACCACAAACCACGCGCGCGGGTGCGAGACGATGGCTCTGGGAGCGGTTGGTGATGCTCCGGCCTGTGCCACAGTGCTGGGCTTGGATAAAACCTCTGGCTCTGTGTCTCTTGCTGCAGTGCAGCCCTGCCACCATCCCTGTCCCTGTCCCAGCCAGGTGCGTGGCAGGAGCCATGCAGAGCCCCTCTCCTGGTTCTCTGCTCTTTGGGCTCTTGCTGCCCTGTGAGCTCGGTGAACTCATGCCTGTGTTATGTTGGAGCTGTTATTTGCGGCGGTGATGGGTCGGGGCAGACTGTTCCCAGGCATTTCCCTCCCTGTTCCTGTGGTGCTGGCAGCAGCGGTCCCACGGTGATGGTCCCTGCGGTGACAGTGTCTGTCGGGTGACAGTGGGTGCTGGTGCCTGGCCCCAGTTCCCCCTGGTTCCTGTAAAGCCCAAGTGCTGCAGAGGTGCTGCAGGCGGGGGCTGGCCAAGAGCTGCAGGCGCAGCGTCAGCGGTTGCCGGTGCCGCAGCCTGTGCAGCCCCGTGCCCGTTGCTGCTGAGCCTCGGCCTCTGTGGCTCTGTAGGGACAGTGGCATCAGTCCCTGACTGTCCTGGCTGCCGTGTTCCCACGAGAGCCTGCACACCTTTGGCAGCCCCTGTTCTGCTCACTGTGCTCTGCCACCAACTTGGGGGTCCCGCTGGCCCCAGTGGGGACTCCGTGCTGTGGGTCTGGGACCACCTGAGCATCTCCCCCAGACCCCAGCTGGTGTGTGACGGGGATGTGTGACCTCTCCTGTGCAGCACCCAGGACCCAGGCTGGGATCCGAGCAGGGAGCAGCCATCACCACGTGCCATTAGCTCGGTGCACTGCCCCTCGCTTGATACTGCTCAACAAGTATGACTGTTTACATAGCACATTGTTCAAAGTAATTCAATTTACAGGAATGATCTTTACTTCTAAATAAAAAATTAATATGGTTCTTTTGTTTGTGCGTTTATATAAACGAGCTGGCACAAAGTCAGTTTACAATGTTCCCATCTGAAGTAAATTAGTGAAGTCTCTTAGCTAAGTCTCTGTATAATTTCAGCACAGAAATGTCCTCCTTCTTTTTTTTTTTCTTTTCTGGTCAGCTATGGTCAGGCTGAAAAATTTAGACCCTTCGTTTCCTCCCAAATAGTTTTGCAATTAGTAATTCCAGCACAGGACAGTCTTTCTACATCTTGTTGAGCCCATGGTGGGCGGCAGCTCTGCAGTGTGGGGTCGGGCACAAGCAGTGTGTTGGTTGTGGTGGCCTGGCCTGTGCTCTGTCACCGCCTGTCCGCAGCACCTGGGGCCACACTGGACTCTGAATTGAGGGGTTTGTAGTGCGGGGTCTCTCCTGTTGCTTGATGTGGTTGTTTCTTCTCAGTGTTTTGTGCCTGTGCTGAGAGATTCCGGAGCTGCTCGGGCAGGGCTGGCAGTGGCTCTGCTCCCCACTGGGGAACCTGAGGTGGCAGTGGCAGTGGCAGTGCTGGGGCTGTGCTGGGAGGTGTGGTGGCTGCAGTCAGGGCTGTGTCAGAGCCAGCATCAGCTCTGCAGTGGCAGAGGACAGGCTCCTTTCTGCCCTGATGCTCTTGCATTTATTTTTTTAAGCAGCAGCAATACTGAAATGCAGAAATCAACCCAAGGCTGTGCCTGGCTCCTCCTGACAGGCACTGGCCAGGGATTTCAGGGTCATGGGGGCCGCATCTACTGCTCCCCGTGAATTACCCGCCCTTGGCCGTCAGCATCCTGGCAGGAATGGGGGTTTTCAGGAGCACACAATCACGGGTGCAGCGATCCTGGCTGTCTTGTTGCCTCTTCATTGCGCTGAGCTACCTTCCAGCACAGCTCACTCCAGCACAGTCATCATCCTCTCGCAGCGATGAGACCTCCTCGATGGAGGAAAAACCAGATGCGTGCGCCTGTACGTGTGAGGAGAACACACATGGTTTGATTTATGGTAGTGGGAGAGAACCGGCTCTGACACAGTTTCCATCCGACTCTCACACTGGCTGTTATCAAAATGAAAAATCCCACGGGCTTGGGAGCTGATTCACGGCGCTGCGTCACCTCAGCCCCTCGGCCGCGTCTGGTGCCACGGGGCTGTGGCGAGTCACACCCTGCTCCTGCCCACACCGCTGCCCACACCTCTGCCCACACTGCTGCCCATACCACTGCCCACACCACTCCTGGGGGAATGGGACAGTTTTGTTGTATCTCTCCATGCTGTGGGATTTGGGCTGGTCGGGGTAAGCGATGGGGTGGGCAGCAGCACCCGGGCCCCAGCTTCACCCTGCCTGCCCTCACCCTGCCTGCCCTCACCTGCCTCTTCTCCCCTGCAGCCGGTTCGGTACGAAGTGTGCCCGCTGTGGCAGGCAGATCTACGCCAGCGACTGGGTGCGGCGAGCGCGGGGCAACGCCTACCACCTCGCCTGCTTCGCCTGCTTCTCCTGCAAGCGGCAGCTCTCCACCGGAGAGGAGTTCGGCCTGGTGGAGGAGAAGGTGCTGTGCCGGATCCACTATGACACCATGATAGAGAACCTCAAGAGAGCGGCAGAGAACGGTATGGAGCCCCACGGTCACGGCCTCGCCCTCGGGACCGTGCAGGGTGTCACTGTCCCTCCCACCGACCCTCATTACGGGGCATCAGGGTCAGTCGTGTTGTTGCCAAAAAGGGGCGATGGGTGGCCCTGGGGTGGCTTGAGCGCAAGGCCCTGTGCTGACAGGGTGCTCGTGGGGGTGGTCAACACGCTGGCAGCACCTGCGGCTCATGGCAGACCTGTGTGCCACAGGCAACGCTGGGGACAAGTGCCTGGTCCTGCACAGCCCGGCGGGCAGTGCGTGAGGAAGCTGCTGGGACTTTGAGGCTGTGAGTCATAAATCTAGAAGGTGGGATTGGCGATTTGACAAAACGTTCCCATCATTTTCCACCCACCCTGCCCATCCGGGGTCGTGCCGCTCCCAGCTGGACTGTGCTGAGCCGCGCCATGGCCAGCCAGCCTCCCATGTCCCAGTCGGGTTGGTGACACTACAGCTCCTGTCCCCTTGAGCCTGGCCCCATCCTCCTGCGTGGCAGTGGCCAGAGATGCTTGGAAGAACAAGTCTGTGGGGATAGTCCATCGTAGTGCACAGAGAAGCTGGGCAGTGCCACGGCATGTCCTGTGTTGGAAAGTACCTCGGTGCGTGGTGGGCACAGGGAGTGACCCTCCATGCCCCAGCCCATGCAGCATGTGGAAACCTTTAACAACCTGACGTGAAAATAATATGTTTCTGTTTAGTGTGTTTGAGTAAGAGGATGAAAACAGAGTGCCCAGTCGGGCTGGGAGGGTCCCGGTTCAGGACGTGGCTCGCGGCGTGTTGGTCCATATGGTCAGCTGCTGCGGAGGCGTGAGGGAGGCAGTGGGAACAGGGATGGAGAGGGAGATGCCACGTGGCCTGGAGGAGCAGTTTGGTGTGAGGACAGCAGGATCTGGCACCAGGGAGTCTTGCAGAGCTGTTGCCCCAGCTGAGGGCTGGGATGGTGGGCTCTCTGCTGCTCAGAAGGACCTGCTGGGGTGGGCTGAGCACCACGGTGTTGGGCAGCACTGGGGCACCTGGTGAGTGCCCTGTATGGGTACCTCTGTCCAAGTGTCCCCCGGTTTTGAGAAGGGGGTGGGATCACTTTGGAGAGCTGCAGTTGCTGTGGAGTTGGAGGGCCACACTCCCCCCTCCAGTAATTACCCAGCAATTTCTTCTGCACATGAGGTTTTACATACAAGAAAAATAAACAGATGTTGCTGAAGTCAGAGTCCCATTCATCATCCGAAAAGAACAAGTCAAACTATATGAGAAAGTCCTTCAACTCAAGCCAAGACAATCACAGCCTGGTCCAGCTTGTGGAGTGAGCGCTGGGCTGTGCAGGCGCATCCTGGGAGTGGGGTGAGCGCCAGCCCTGCTCAGCCTTCCTCCCTCCTCCATCCCTGCTTCACCTACGCTGCTGAGAGCAGACAGGCATGGCCTGGGCTGCAGGGGGAACCCCAGTGAGGAATGAGGGACCCCAGCTCTGGCCACTCTCCCTGTAGGCTGTGTAGCAGCGTGAGCACAGCTGGGCTCACCCTGATGCTGTGCTTGGCGAGTGGGAGGTCGGTGTCCCCCTGGTGTGTCCCCCTTAGTGTGGCTGCTGCTCGGGGCACGGGCACCCCAAGGCCATGGGGACAGTGTCACTCTTTCTGCTGCTCAGGGACCCAGGAGGAAGAGGAGATCAGGGTGCTGGGAGGATTTGGGGCCAGGGAAAGGAGCAAAGAGCCCACTGAAACTCTCAGAGCAAATGAAACGACTGATGGAAGCAGTGCCAGTCGGGGAAAACGGGGTCACAGGGAGCAGAGCAGGGCAGGAGTGATGGATGTGGGTGAGCCCAGCAGAGACAGGGTCCCTTCCGAGCCTCTCCCTGGAGGATGTGGCCAAGCGGTGACCGCAAGTCAGGGCCAGTGGGACATCCGTGCTTGCCCTCACACACCACCTTGACATCCCTCTTCCTGCTGCTGTCTTCCCGTCCCTTATTCCCCGTGGCTTCCACCACTTACTGCATTTTTCTTACTTCAACATTAAATTCTTTGGGGGAGGTGGTGTCTCCCTCCTGGTGTGTTGAGGGGTTTGGCAGCCCTGGGCAGCTCTCAAGGGGCAGTGCTGGCTCTAGTCTTTCTGCTCCCACTTGCAGCGAGGGATGCTGTGGGTGCCCCACACTGCCCTGCCACTGGCTGTGCTGTCCCCCATTTGAGCAGCTGCTGCATGTGGGGGTGGCAGGTGGGCAGGTGAGTTTCTGACCTGTGGCTCATGGGTTTTTCTCTTGCAGGCAATGGGATCACGCTGGAGGGGGCTGTGCCCTCGGAGCAGGACAGCCAGCCAAAGCCAGCCAAGAGAGCCCGCACCTCCTTCACGGCCGAGCAGCTGCAGGTAGGGGGGCTGGGCCGGGGGGGCTGGAGGGGCTGCGCCTCCCCGGCCTCATCCTGAGCCCCTCTCCCCTCTCTCCCGCAGGTCATGCAGGCACAGTTTGCTCAGGACAACAACCCCGACGCGCAGACGCTGCAGAAGCTGGCGGACATGACGGGGCTCAGTCGGAGGGTCATTCAGGTGAGGGGCAGCAGGGTGGGACCAGCAGCTGAACAGGACAGGGAGGGTTGCCCCTGAAGGCTGGCACCAGACAGGGCTCACAGCCCCGTGGCCCCTCACTCCTGCACATCAACCCCACGACGTGCAGCATCCAGCACGCTGGCTCGCTGGCTCCTGTAGCCGTGCCAGCTCCATCCTGCCTCTGTCTCTCTCGTGGGTTTTCTGTTTGTTTTTCCCTCTTAGGATGCAATGAAATAACCCCCCTTGCAGCCCCAATAACTCTCTGGGTGGGAAAGCTGCCCATTAGCACTGTCCCAGAGCTCTGTGCTCTGCCCCAGCTCGGGCAGCGCGGGAGCTCCCCTGGCAGTCGGTAGCAGAGCCTGCCACAGGCAGGCAAAGTTCACAGGCTTCAGGAAGTGTTGAGATTGAGAAGTTTAAGGAAAAAGGGGTTTTGCAGCCCCAGGGGACGTGGTGGCAGGGAAGTCCCCACGCCTGTGCCTGGAGGGGAGGGGAAGTGGTGCTGTAGGGACTGAGAAATGTCCCCTCTGCAAATCCCAGCTCACCATCCTTGCAGACAGCCCAGCTTTGCCTCTCGGTGACATTTATACTCATCACTTTAATGTTCTGCTGACATACTTTCTGCATACAATGAAAAGCAGGAGTGATGAAAATAAATTTGGAGCTTTCATCCGGGATTGTTTTGCCAGTGACACATTTAAATTTTGTGTGTGAAAATCTGGCTCGAGCCCCCATTACTGAGATTCTTCATTTAGCTAAAGATCAAGCAGGCTGCACACCAGGTGATTTTTTATGTGGATATTTTTCAAAGGCGCTTTAAACAGGAAACAATTTGTCAAACGCTTACGACTGTTTCCTTCTCTGTGGTCCAGTGCTCGGCCTCAGAGAGCTGGTCTCTACTCAGCCTTGGAGAAGGTTTTTACTCCAGCTATCTTTCAAAAATTAAAGCATAAGAAACAAGTCACCTCTTTAGCATAAAAACCCCTTCCATGCACGTTTTATCTCTAGGATGTAATTCCCTAACTATTCCTTTAATTAGAAGCATTGAGATACGGTCAGAGACCTGCTGCTCACACAGACTAGGGCTGTATCCCACCACAGTACCCTCCTTTCTCAGCTTTAATGTTCTGATGATGTGGTTTTTGAATATGATAAAACATAGGTGTAATAAAACAATATTGTTTTCCTCATCCCTAAAGTCACAACGTCTCCTAGTCTAACCTTCTACTTGTCTCCCCTTATTCCTCTCCTTGCCAATGCTCACGTGTTTCCCAGCTGATCTCAATCTGTGCTTTTAGGCCAGGTGAGCTGGGGCTGCAGGCTAAGATTTAAATAAGACCTTGAAAGGTGCTCCCATCCTTTGCAGGGAAGTTGAGCAGGGACAAAGCTTTGCATATGCAGCTTCACTCATGCTCTAGTGGGTGTAAAATAAACCTGTGGAAACCAGCGAAACGCTGGTGAGGGGCAGATTTCTCAATTTTATTTCTTTTTTTAAATGCTTGGAGCAGACACCCATCCTGGGGTTGCGGTGGAGGAGCGCACTTCAGTCCAGTCGCCTCTGCGTTGACGCAGCATTTGCTGCTTTCGTTTCAGGTTTGGTTTCAAAACTGCAGAGCCCGCCATAAAAAACACACCCCCCAGCACACGGTGCCGCCCTCGGGAGCGCCCCCGTCCCGCATCCCTTCCTCGCTCTCCGACGACATCCACTACTCGCCCTTCAGCAGCCCCGAGCGGGCCCGGATGGTGACGCTGCACGGATACATAGAAAGTAAGAGCGGCCGGCGGGGCTGCGGCACCGGGGAGGGCTCAGGGGGGCTCGGGGAAGGGCCGGGGGAGCTCCCCCCGAACAGGCGGTGGCACCACGGCACGGCCCTGCCAAAAACACTCTCGCGCTGCGGGAGCTGGGCTGGTGCTTGTGCTGCTCCTCCTCCTCGTGCCTGGTGCGCTTTGCCTTTGGGGTTTTCTGGAGGGCTGTTTATGCGGGAGGCTCAGAGGAGAGAGGGAGGGAACACAGGGCTGCTGCTCTTTCCCTCCATATCTCATCCGCAGAAAATCACTGCCTGGGTTTTACCTGACTGGTCCCAGGCCCTCCTTGTGTCCTCTTGCCATGGAGGAGAGGTGTGAGTGTGCCCTGTGAGCTCGGTGCTCAGTGCTCTCCTTCCTTCTCCGAGCGGCAGAGTTGCTTTCTTTGACAGTTCCAAGTGCTGGTGAATGATTTGTGAGTGGTGGGCAGCTTTGGTCATGCCAGGATGGAGGTTTTGGCTCCATGGCTCTTGTGAGGCTTCTCCCCTCCCTCACCCTCGTGGGCTCCTGTTATGCCTGTGCCTGTTCCACAGGCACCTCTTGCTCCACGCGTGTCCCGAGCTGGCCGTGCCAGTTGGAGGGCCTGTGTTGTTTGTAGTAACAGAGGCTGAAGCCTCTTCTCATCCACAGGTCAGGTACAGTGTGGACAAGTGCACTGTAGACTTCCCTACACTGCTCCACCAGTGCACCTCAAAGCAGACATGGAAGGACCACTATCTAATAGGGGTGAGAAGGTAATTGTAGTCCCTGTTTCAGGCTCTGGGGCCGACCCTCCACTGTAGCAAAGATTTGTGTGTAACATCATTGCCACTGCCATCTCCCGTCAGCACCACTGCTTCTCCATGACCTCCCATGTGTGTGTCCTTAGTCTTGGTGGCCCTCGGTTGATGTACCCACTGTTGGTCAAAATGGCATCACTTTGTTCTTCACTAAACACCCCTCGTTGTTGTGAAGTGCTGCGTTCCCTGAAGGATCCTCACATCCTCCTGCTGACTCCTCTCTCTGGTTTCTCCCCTTCCCCTGTGCCCTGAGCTCTGTCCTCCTCCGTTCCTCTGTTAATAACAGAGCAGGGGGCACCTTCAGCATGTGTGAACTTCCCAGTTTTCCATGAGTTAACAAAAAAGATTCATTTCTTGTGGATTGTACTATTGCTTAAAAAACAAACAAACAAACAACTGACTGTTACAATATCTGAAGTAGGAATGTTATTTCACAATGTCTGGCCAGGGAACAGTATTGCATGTTGATATTTTTCTGTGCAGCGCTTACAGGATCTAATACATGGCTTATTGGGGGCAAGACTTCTCAAGCATGCTGAGGCTCATAAGATTTTATTTAGGATTCCAGTTTCAGTGACTTTCCTTTGAGGAAACACTGAGCCTTTGGCAACTCTTAGTGGTTTTAACTTTTGTCTTTACTGTTAGAAGTTCTCAGCATCTCTCTTTTCAGATCTCCCTCTACTCAGTGCAGCAGTGGCAGTTTATTGAACTCTGTTTCAGTGATCACAAGCAGGGGCACAGGAAAGTTACTTTTCCAGACTAAAAGCTACCATTTTGTCATGATGTCTGCACAGTGAGCTGGAGAGTTTTCAGAAAATATTATACAGTCCCAGTGCTGTCATTCAGAGAAGCTCCACTGCAGCAAGCAGCTCCTGATTTAAACATAATTACTTGCTCACAGATGTTGCAGAATGGGGTTCTCAGGACATGGAGCTGCCCCCCAGACAGCTCCTTTCCCAAACAGTCACTTGCATGTTGAATTCCTAAAAACTTGAACAGCTTTTTTTTTCCACATCCAAATTTTTTTTAAAAGCAGTGATAGCTGAGATCCTGGGAAAACACTTGTAAATGCTGTGTCTCTGTTTCCCTTTTCCTGTGGGGCACTCCCCACTGTCCCCTTGGGGTGCCCAGTGCAGTGGCTGGTGAGATCTGAGTTGTGACCAGCTCAGTGGCTGCTTCCCCTGCCCGATTGCAAGGACAGGGGCTGTATTTGCAGAGCAGTGAGGTGAGGTGGTTTGAGGGGAGCCTGTGATGGTTATCAAGGTAGTGGTCTTTCTTGGTAGCTGCTGTATCACAGCACAAACTGATTGAATGCTGATTTTGGTGTGCTGCCCAGTTTTGCAGGGTTTCACAGCTGAAGCTGTGCCCAGAGGGGCACCTTCCCTGCAGGCTGTGGTGCCACAGTCCCGTTACCTCCCGCCTGGGCTCCTCAGTGCAGCGCCTGCGTCCTGGCAGCTCCTTCCATGGGCAGGGCTGGTAGCTCCTGGGCAGACAGTGCTTCCAGAGGGGGGGTTTCCAATGGGGAGGTGTCTTCCACAGCAGAGCCCATGCCTGTCCTGTTCTCCCTGAGAGCACGTTGGCACTGTTGAGTGCTGTCTGTCCCTGAAAGCACCTGACGCTCCGCTCCTGTTTCTCCCCCCAGGTCATCCTCTTTCAGTACTGACTGCCCGGACTCTTCCTCACCTGCCCATGGCCCTACCAGCACCACTGCCCCTCAGCCGCTGACACGGCGTCCAGCCCACGGCACCTGGTATCAGTCCCACAGGAGAAGCTCAGACCCAGCGCTCTCAGCTCTTCCCATTGACCAGCACCTCACGCCCACTCCGACTTCTCCGGCGACACTCTGTGTATGTGTGTGTTGAGTGCAGAGTTACATTTGACACTTGTTTCTTGTGGACTTGTAGAATGACCGTGAGTCTCTCCGAGGCAGTGCCAGACACAGTCAAAACTAGTGACTCTACTGTGCTTGCAAACCTTGCTCCCAAACCCATGGGAATATGAACAACCCAGAACACGCTGAGTCTCAGGGGGGTCGATGATCACCTCTGAACACAAAGGAAGGAGGAATTTACGTGGTTTGGCCTGATTCTCTTTTTGCACCAGTGAAGCGGTTCCCGGACATCCCTCCTTATTTCCACTTGCATGTGTGAAATCTGAAATGGGCTCTTTGGCTCAGCAACTCGATACATAGACAGACCTTCCTGAGCCAAACTCACAGATAGCCGAGACTCCACTAAGTGGAAAACACGATGCCAGCTGGAAATAGGCAGTTTTTCTTCCTCCTCAAAGTGCTTTAGAATCACATGTTCTTTGATCACTCAAAGGTAAGTAAATCTTAGTGTTTTTCCCCCCGTTTTATAGGAGGGGAAACCGATATGTCCTAAACGGAGAGGAACCATGGGGGTTGGTGGCAGAGCCAGGTTTAGCACCCTGAAGTTTTTGATTGCTGACTTGTTCTTAGAACATGGAATATCTCTCTCCTCTCACAGCCATCTGCCAATTTTTTTTTTTTTTAAGTTTTTTTGCTCTTGTTCTTTATTAACAAACTACTTTATTTCCTTGGAGTCATATCAGATCACAAATGGGTGATTTCAGAATGTACCTACACAAAACTCTCAGACTCTCCATACTCTGGGACTGGGAAATGCTCAGTGGAAGGTGACCGTAAAGGTGTAGAAATGTTCTGCCCTGCTGTGGACCCAAGTTCAATCAGTGGACACAGTCAGGTAGAAAGTGGAGACCAGTTAAAACGGTGAAGACCACACTGAGGCCAGCAGGAGCGGTCACTAGCCGAGTGGACAGCGAGGTGGTGGCGTGTTCCTTTGTCTGGCAGCGTCGCTTGGAGTCCCTCTGCCCTCCTGTTGTTCTCCCTTGCTGGAGTGCAGCTGGTGATCCTGCCAGGCCCTGGGATGAAGGTGCAGCCAGAACTGCTGCCGGCGGGCTCACAGCAACAGCAAAGGAAATGCTCAGCAGTCTGGCCCCGGGTCAGGAAAAAGACTCCAAAACGATCCTTCATTGACGGTAACAACAGAAAGTAAACAAGTGACCTCTGCCAGCCCTTCTCAGTTTGCACCGAGCCAAGAGCAGGTCTGTAACAAAACCTCTCTCCACGCAAGCACACGGGCCTGTCCTGCTGCTGAGTGTCCGTGAGGCCGCGCTTCCGAGAATGTGAAAGCCCACCATGAGCCACAGCCCGCGAGGGGAATGACTGATCCGTGCCCCGGGAGCAGGAGACGGGAACCCATCCCTTGCATAACTTGTTTTTAAGTCGATCTGTACATACACGTGTTTTCCTCTCCGGGAGATCCTGGATCCATCTCCAGCCTCGGCCGGAGGGCAGCCGTCCATCCCACTGCTCCGGCCAGTCCCTGCTGCACACATGGCAAGGCTTCTCCTGAACTCCCTGAACTCCCTGTGACACCAGCGGCCAGACACGTGGCCTGAGGAGATGGGGGTGTCTGCTGAGGTGGCCACCAAGGTCTCTTGGTTTGAGGAGCAGCTGAGTACAAGCACACCTTGATATTGGTTGGAGCAAACACATATGTACACACACACTGTGCTGTGTGTGTATACTGAGAGAGTGATGGTGCTACCTCGGACAGGTAGGCCAGTATCTGTCTAATTGCAGCCAGCAGCTCTGTCCCCAGTTTAAAATAACATTGGAAAGGAGAGAGGGAATTAACTCCAGAAAATATTATTGTCACCTCCAGTGTGTGCCCAGGGACGAGGCACTGCCTGCCCTGACTGGAAGCAGCGCTGCAGAGGTGTCCCCTTGGGGAGGGGACGGTCACCAGTCACAGCAGTTTTTGTCCCTGCCCGTAGCAATGAGTGAAGGAGTGGTGTTCCCTTCATTGGCTCCTGGTGAGTGTTTGTAATCACAGGTTGAGGTGGTTGCTGCGTTCATGTGCAACAGCCTTGAGATGCTGGTGGGGGTCAGGGGGGGTCACCGCGGCCAACTTTGTTCTCCATTTGTGCTCACGTATCCTAATGACCATTTAGTTGTGGAATTCGTGCCGTTATTTCATTTTAAGACTGAAGGAGAGACTTCAGGCTGCAACTTGCCCTGACATCCCACAGTCCTTGAGATTTCCACAGCTGTTTTTGTGGAGGGAGAAAAGGGTTCGATGTGTTTCTCTTCTGTCTCGGTGGTGCAATGAAAGGAAAACTATGAAATATGGATCTGCTAAATACCAACTCCATCAAAAGAAACCCCACCTGTGAAATGTACTGTCTGTCCAAGGGTTTGTCACCGATCCCACGGCAGGGCCGGAGCGCGAGGCAGGGGCTGAGGGGGTGTAGGTGTTTCTCTCCAGGGACGTGGGCTCACTACAGACTGTGCTTGGGGCACTTCCCCCCATAAGTAGCCAGGAGCAGCTTTGCTAATTCAGAAATCAGGCTCTGTTTATATTAAGCCCAAATTGTTTGCAAAAACTGGAAGCAATTCAGCTTGTGCAGTTTTAGAGCTAATTATGTGTATGGAAAATACTCAACTGTACCAAGAATGTAAGAAATCTTCTAATTTATTCAATACATTGTTTCACAACATATTTCACACTGACTGTTGCCACTGAACCAAACCTTATCTCAGGTCATTTGCATTCATCTCCTGTCTGTGGATTTAAAAAAAAAAATAAAATTAAAGTCATTCTCATTTTCTTAGTTTATTCAGTAATTGCCAGATGGGTTCTGGTGCAGCAATGCAGACTCCACGCACTAAACTTTTCCAGTTGCTATTTACAAAGCCTTTTGCAGACAGAACCCACTGAGGACAGCCAGTGAAAGGCTCTTCACTCCAGTTTATTAAGGTAACTAATACAGCTCGGCTCTGGAAGTGGAATGGTTTAAGGTTTTATATCACCAGTGATTTTTTTTGGCTCATGCTGGTTAACCCCAGTGCCTGAGCTAAAGGTGCTTACACAACTCACTCGTTGGGATGGGAGTGGGAACCAATCCTGCACTACTATCAGTGATTTATCTGTAGGATGCCAACTAAACACCAGTTTTATTTCATCTGCCAATCATTTTGTTGTAGCATGTTGCAATTCTGCATGTCTTGGCTACAATGGTTAAAAAATTTTTTCTCTGAATGAGTGGACAGTCAAGACTAATATTTATTTTAAAAAAGTAAAACTAAATTGTAAGCACTTTTTTGTAAAACCAATGTCTGTTTTGTTACATACTTTTAATGTTGTGCTTTGTAAATGTCTTATTTGTGTAATAAATAAAGTTAATGCAAGTAGAAGTGCTGGCACTTACATCCAGAAAATGATGTAATTCCATTTTATTTTATTTTTAAATACTTTCTGGCTTACTAATCAAGCAGCAACCCACCCAGTTTTCCTCTTTTATTATTTTGTTAAACTCTGGCTTCAGGAGAGTTCAACAAACGTTCGTAGTAAATGGATATAATTTCCTAGTTAGCAAACCAGTCATTAAAGAATACCTCTGGTGTACATTATTACAATGATCAATCAATATCAAAGTACTGAGCAAAAAGAGAGGAAAGGAATTCACCAGGACAGCTAACTAAAATCTGGGAAAATAATGTTGATTAAGATGGATTTGAATGACTTCAACACCGAATCTGAGGCACTCCTTTTAACAAATTGTTTTCAGGCTTAATAATGTTTATACATACTACACTGCACACCTCTCAGGAATATTATTGTGAGTACAGTCGCCTTTTTTTCCATGGCTTTTGCTCAGCATGACTGATTAAATGATTATTTCCATTTTTGTTTGTGCTGACAGAGATGACAGAAAGATTATATTCCTGTCGAGGGAGAGGGTGAGACAAATCCACGAGGACAAATTGCGTTTATTGTGACTCAGATTACCTGCTTTGCTGGAATATTATTGTCTAGCGAGATCGGGTTTATGCTTTCGGTTTGTGCTCAGCTCTTCCACCCCCAGCTTTCCGGCAGGTCCGAGTGATCCATTCATGCTCATCATCGTCTGAAAGGGAGATAAAGAGAGCGCTGAACATCCCCGTGTCAGAGCTGCTCTCTGCAGCACCGGGGTCCAGCTCAAACAAGCAATTTTTCCTTTGTAAAGCAAATCCATTTTTAGCCGTTGTCATCTCTTAGAACACTTTGTTGTTGTTGTTGTTGTCGGTTGTTTAAAAGATCGTGGCTGTTGTGAGGGAATTTGTCGAGGCAGGAGGTGCTGGATCTGTGGCAAGGACTGATTTATTTGTCTGTTTGAAAAGCTCAGCTTGGGTGAACTGTAAGATTTACATGTATAGATTTTATATTTTGTGTTCTGGGCGAAACATGCAGGAGAAGCGTTGAAACTCTCAGAAGTTAATATAGACATTTTTTAAAACACTGTGCCTGTGTTGCTTGTCAGTTTGTGAAAAATCATGGTAAAGGAAAATCAATACTAAAACCCCAGGTTTTTGTCTTCCAGCTTCTCTTTCCATGCTGTTTTTGAGATGTACGTTGTGGCAGGTATCCATAAGCTGATGCAGTGGCTGACAGACGTATTTTAGACCATCTTCTGTGTCCCTTGTTAGTATTCATGTCTGTCGTATTTATTCTGAGAGCATAATGACAGTGTGGAAGGAAAATAAAAGCAAAGACAATGTAGGGAAAAAAAAATAACTGCCCAGCAAAGTTTGAATGGAAATTTTGTGTATGATTACAAAAAAAATAGCCTGGTGAATGTTAAGTTGTGGCTTCTTAATTCCAGGGATTTAAACAGTCTTGTCTCCAGAAACTGTTCTGCAGCCTTTTCTTTTGTGTTGGTGTAGGGAAAAGGAGATCTATGTAGTAAACCAGGAAAACCAAACTTCAAAGAGCCTTGGAAAAAATCAAAGTATTACTTAAAACAATATCTGTATTTATTTTTATATAAGTGAAATGTATTCGAGCTGCTTCTTGTGTTTACCACTGTCTTGACCAATCCATATTAGGTGGTTGTGATGTGTGTTTCTAACCTGCCTCAGTCTAGATTTTGAGAAAGAATAGATGATTGGGAGGAGGATGGAGCTGAGGGGGCTGTGACCTTGTGCTGTGACCATCCTTTGGCACAGGCCACAGCCCCATTTATTCAATTCACACACTGAGCACCCTGCTTAGGTAGGTCAGAAAGATGGAGAAAAAGCATGTTCCCTGGAAGAAGTCAAATTTTGATGGAGATCTTTTGGCTGTGGAGTTGTGCCTTGAGATTAAAGTGACAGAGGAGCATTTGAAATGCAAAAGGTAGGAAGGTCCCAGGAATGAACTGACTGAATAATCAGCTGTGTTGGGTTAATCTAAGAACTCTGTGACAAATTCAGTCTGTTGGACAAGTCATCAAGCTGGGGGGTTAATCTTATTGATCAGCTTCGGTGGGGAGGGTCCACCTTTGAGCAGCACCCCAGTGGCTGTGAATGGGCTGAGGGCACACTGGGGCTGCCATTGTTCCCACAGATCAGCCACAGGTCGCTTTAATGACTGGAAAATGGTCATGATTTGGGTAGAATAGCCAAGTTCAGCTCTTTCTGTGTTTCACTGATCTCTTTTTTTATTTCTTATACCTAGGAATCCATAGGTCCGTAAGGAAATGCCCTGTTAATGGCACGTTTCTTGTTGGGGTATAAACTAGGGGGAAAACAGATGGGGAAAAAATATGCTAAAAGGGAAATGAAAGAGATGAGCACTGAATCTTGCTTAAAGACCACGCAATCCATAGAGGCAGATTCCACTGAGGGCTGCAACAGGAATGCAAATGTGGTCCTTAAGCTTTCTTAAAAACAACAGCCAGGCCATAATCAATGTGCTGGCTTTTGTTCTATGCACTAGGTGTTCCAGGCAGTAACCATGTTATCACGTGAGCCCTGGCTGCAGCACAGATTGTCCAGCCTGGGTGGCTCTGAGATTTTAGCTGGAATTGACTTAACTAAAAAAAAAAAAAAAAAAATAAATAGTTTATCTGAGCTTGTAGTAATGACAGGAAAATTAAACTTTCTCTGCCACGGTGAAGGAATAAGCAAAACTTACACAGGCTGTACATCAGCAGTGTTCAGCTGCTAGCTGGGTATATGTGCCTCACCTGAGCACTGGAAATAAGCAGCCTGACTTTTTCTGTAGCCATCAACAACTCTCACTCAGCTGAGCACCCAGGGATAAGCACAAAGAAAGGCAGATGTAACTTAAATCTCACCTAGCCTTGGTTTGCCCAGATCGTTTCCTTCTGCATTCTGGGTTTTCCTGGTCTCTGAGCAAAGCACACAAGGCAAGAAGCTCCATGGATTTTAGCCTTCCCAGACCTATCCCATGCAAATTAAATCCATGTTCATAAGCCCTGCTTAACTTGCATATAGTTTAATCAGATGTAAAACTGACCAAACAAGTGAATTTAAACTTTGAGTATGAGGTGGAAAGAACAGATGTAATGGCTCAGTGTGAAGTAAATCCCTGGAACTGCCACCCAACCCAGTGCTCTGTGCCACTGGTCCCTGCTCTAGGTAAGGGGAAATGAAAGAATTGATCCAGCCCAGCAAGAACCACAGCCCCAGAGAGGAGAATGGCTCCAGGGCTGGCTATGGGAGAGGAGGCAGGGAAATATTAGAATGTAAAGAGTTAAGCTATGGTAAAACATACTTTTGCTACACTAAAGAAGACTGGTTGATAATTACTGTAGTTTTAGGGCTATTTGAATCAGTGCAGCTGCAACCTCTTCAGTAGTAACCCCTGAAACAAGACAAACTGGGTTTATTGTACTGAACAAGTCTTAAAGCTCCTCCCTGATTGTTAGTAATTGGCAGCAATGGACTTAACAGCCTCTTGACTACCCTTTTTACACTCTACCTGACTGTGCAGCTAACAATTTAAATCACAGATGCCGATCCTTCTTTGTGGCAGCTGCTTGTTAACTACACGTTCCTCTTTTTCTGTCACTGGCTGCTTCCATAACCCTGCAACACCAGGGTTAGATTGGAGAATCACATTTCATCAATATTTAAAATGGAATTAAACCTTGAAGTTTGATTAATGCTACCAGATAGTGAGTTGTAATTACTATTTTGCAAATTGCAATTGTTTGAATATGTTAATATGATTGTCCAAGCACATCTTCACCTTCAGAAGTAATTTTCCTTTTAAAAAAGATTTGAAAAAAATACAAACTCTTTAATCAGTGCTAAATTATCACCCTGTGCACAATTAGGTGGTATGGGGTTCTTCATGTGGTGTGCTGAATTTTGGGTCTGCATATTTATCTTTAAAAAGTTTATCCATTTTTTTTAGATTTTCCTCAGTAGAATAAACATTGAGGGAACAGACTTTGCTGAAACAGGACCGTGTTGATGTTTGAAGGTAAAGGAAAAAAAGCTTTGTCTGAGCATTTCATTGCAATCTGGTGTATCCCTGTGCAGTTAGTAAATGTTTACCAGTGTTTTCTTCCAAAGTCAGTGAAATATAATTATTGTTATCATGGTATGTTATTGAAATCTTGAAACTGAGACAGACAGAGCTGTTGGAATATATGTAAGTACTGACTGATTCTCTTGAATTATTTCCTCGTGTCTCAATCAAAAATAAGATCAGTTTCTAGCACCCCCTAAATATATTTTGAATATTGTGGGTGAGATCCTCAGCCAGCCCACACTGGGACGGCCTCTCTTTTATTTTTGTGATTAATTCAGGCTGTTTTCATTAAGCAGGCAGAGGCCTATGGAGCCAACCCTGGCAGGCACCTGCACGACTGATCCCCAGAAACAGCATCTCCCACAGTAGATGATTATCCAGGGCTCCAGGTCTTCCTGATCTCCTGTTGGACACTGTCCACACAGTCAACAGGTCAGTCTGGAGAGTCTCTTCAGGCAAGTAAGACCCAGCTAAAGCTGTTGGTTGTACCCTGCTCCTGTAAGTAGCCTGTTCCAAAATTAGCTCTTCTCCCCAAATATCGCTTGGCAAGTTTCTGCCTTGTTTTGGGTGGCTTTATGGGAGGCTCCAAATGCCAGCCAAGTCCAAACAGGTCTGTCAAAACCCCTGCTAGATGTGTTCCACAGTGAGCTCAAACTGCAGCTCACCCAGGTCAGTGGATTTCTGCTCAGCATCTCTCCAAAACGAAACCACTTGCCTGATTTTCAATGATCAGTCTAAAAGCAGTGGCAGAAGAGACTTCCCCAGCTACCACATTCCAGATTTATCTCTCAGCTGGGATTAGAAACAGCTGAAAGTTCAGGGTGGCCTTGCTTCAGGGTGCTTCCAAGGGATGCCTTGCAAACACACTGTAATTTAGGTGCGTTTAATCTTGCTATATTAAATGCATATTGCAAAGTTTAGAATTATTTGCTTCTAGCTATCGTGTTTCTGTGTTGCTTATGGAAACCTCAGCTGTGAGAGACTTGTGAGGACTCTGCATGTTTAGGTGTCTGCCATGGTGCAGAGCAGAGACCATCAGCAAAGGCAGGATGGCCATGTAGACTTCTGGATTTGGCCTCTTGAATGCGTTCCCAGGAACCCACCTAGAAGATGTTTTGGGATTAGAATATTTAGTGGCTTACACAGGGGAAAAACTACACTGTTCACCCTAAAAACCTTGTGTGCGTTAGGTCTTTGTAGCTGTGTGTGATCCTGGGGGTTTAAAGGCTGAGCCTACACTGGTGCACTCCCCAGTGCTCCCCAGAATTCAGCTCCGTGGCTCCCTGCCCTGCCCAAGGGCACGGTGGGACCAGCCTTGATGGGCATTGTCCCTTTGTTCTCTTCCTTCTGGTAAAGTCCCTGGGAGCCAGGAGGGAAGTCATTCCCTGGTCTGTGCTTCCCCAGGACAGGGAGTGCATCCTGGGGAGCAGCCCCGTGGGCAGAGCAGCTCTCCATGCCCACGGTTTGTAGGGCTGTGTTTACAACAGGCCATCCTCGAACAGGAGCTGAGCTTCCTCTCTGTTTGCAGAGGGCCAAGCACCCGCAGCCCATTGTAAACAACAATATCGCTGAATTCTTTCACAGCCCCGACTCCTCCCATCACCCGCGGCGCAGTTTATCATGTTCTTCCACTGCACAATTCCAGGCCCCTGTGATAGGATCTCAGCCATGGATTCTGCCTGGCACACCCCTTCCATTTCCACTGCCCCCTCCGGGTCCCTACCACCTCTTTCCTTGCTGCACCTGACCCCGCCAACATCAAGGCTGGCAAGAAAATGGAAAATACGTTTTCAATTAACCTTTGCCTCCACCCGCAAATTCTCACCCTTCCAGTTACTTTTAATTCCTGTCATTCCAAAATGGCCCCCAAATGAACTTTCCATCTCTTGTAAAACTTGTTTTCACACGGCCTGTATAGTGGAATGTAAGTGCCTATAGGACTTGTGTGTAAGCTATTTAATGGATTCACAATAGGATGGTTAGCACCCAAACAAAGGTGTTATTCTTGGCATGCCACTCTTTGGAACTGAAACTTCCCCAGTTTTCAGAAAGATAAGACCAGGAAACCGCAAGGAACAATGTATCTGCAAAAGCTATAGCTACTGAAATTACCGTAGTAACTTAGATCATGATGCATATGTTAATATGATCACTGCTGGCTCCAGTCTTGAATGTAAATCATCTTGGTTCATAATCTATTTTGCTGAATGGAGGATGTTTTAGGTTAAAACATGTAAGCCAGATTTAATCTAAAAATATTCTTGGTTGCTCGGATGAGAAGTCTCCAAGGATCTGTCTGTCACCTGAGCAGGCTTTGACACTGAGAAAGGCAGCAGAAGTATGAATTTTGCACTCAAAATGTGCCTGATCCTAACACATTTCTATAAATAAAGTTATGAAAGGAGCATATGATGGGTGGGAGAATTGGTCCAACATTTCAAAAAAGTGTTTAGGGTAGAGTAAGGAGAAAAAAAAGGTACGAAAACCCCACAACTTCCTGTAGGAGTCTGGGATCTTCATTTTAAGTGGGGTAGACTCAAATGCCTCTGCCATCTTCACTGCTCACTTGTTTGCCTTGCCCCTCAGCAGTCCCTGTGTGATTCTTGCTAGGGTTTGGCCTCTCCTCCTTCTAAGATTTGGCTCCTAAACGAATTTATTTAAGCATTGGGGATTATTTAGGTCCAGAGCTACAGCAGTGGGAGGTGAAGGAGACAAGATCAGAAGGTGAATTTGTAGGGACTTGTGTAGAGCCTTGTGGGCAAAGAGAAGCAGCTGAGTGCCGTGGCAGAGAGAGAAGATATTTTTTGCAGTGGTATTTTTGAGGAATAGGAAGCGAAGAGGCCAGAAAGAGGAATTAGCAGCAGAAAGGACAAGCACTTCAGCTGTTGCACGAAAAGCAAAGGGCTACTCGCTTTCAGATGCTTTACTTGTGTAAATGGAGAACAGTGTTGGCTCTCTGCTTTACAAACCCTGCTTTCAGAAATAAGTTTGTCAGCCAAAGTAGAGAGAAAAAGATCAATGGATTGCAATAAACGGCATTTAACATAAAAATGAGTAAAATTTACAATCCAGTTAACTTGTTAAATGTTACAAAATCAGCAAACAATAGACACGATTTGTTTTGTTCAGAGCCCAGAGGTAGAGACCAAATCCTCTAAATTAATTTCTGCAAAAGCTGTTTTTTTTTTTCCAAACAGGTCTGGATCCTATTCGTTGTAGAATATACTGATTACCAACTATTTTTAAGAGCTTTACACAAACATTATTTCTTTTGTTGTGTGAAATGCAGAATCAGCCATCTGGCAAATGCCCCAGAGCTAAAATCTTTTACATGACATATAATTCAAAATGATTAAATATACAACAGAAAATAGCTATAGCATTGCACTTAAAATAGCATGAACTTTTACTGCCGATCAAAACTGATTTCTTTAGCTTAACAAGTATCCAAAGAACAATTATTTGAAGAGCTTTTAAGAGTTTCAATATGTAGGAACTAAACCTCATCTAAATTCAGTATCTTAAGTCAAATAAAAAAGAAACAAATGTACAAAAG